ATTGGCCTCTAAAAAGCTTGGCGTGCTCAGCAGCGCGGGACGGTATTTCACCTGTCGAATACGAGTATATAAAACGTGCTATTCCATCTCGTTGAACAGTTTCCTATAACAGTTAGTAGAATTTGATCTGGATTTAGACGCTGTTGGATTTTGGCTAATTGACCTTGAGCGATAGTCGAATGATTAAAACGAGTGGCGATCCTCTTACATTTCTGAATCATATTCACTATGAAATTTTGAAAAATCAATCCATTCTTAATATTTGTCTGTAGCTTATGAGCAGTACAGTCTATATCGTTAAAATCGGTCAATGTCATAGCAAGCTTCATATTTGAGGCTTCATCTCTCAACATGCAGTGTACTTGCTCCTTAGTTATATTCCATTCACATAGCATTGAAACAAATTTGTCTGAAATAGCATCGCCAGTACGTCTGCCTTCGAATCCCTCGCACTTTAAGACAACGTTTAAGCGGTTGAAGTGTGCCGTTATGCCGTCACAGGTTAGGCTGAGAAGTGATACAGTCGCACTTGGCTCTGACCCATATGTCAGTCGTGAATGACATATATTTAAAATCAGCTATCAAAACTTTGATTTTTACAGCAACTTTGCCGTACAAAACTTCACAGGTATGCTCAGAAAAAAAAATGAGGACCTTTCACAGTATATTGGGGCGCGACTAACTGTATCAGCCTTCGAAATGCTACGCCTTCAACGAAGTTAAATGGCAAGTCTTTTATGCTATCATTTTACTTATTCGGCAGTCGATCTTTTGCGACAATGGATGTTTGATGTCCCATTGTTTCTTTTTAATTACAGTTTCTTCAATAGATAATTGTTTTGTTACCTCTTTTAGTGGAGTTTCTTGCGGTTTATCCAGTTTTGAAGCCTGGGCCTCCGATTCAGTATGGATCAACATTTCGTATTTTTTGCAATGAACGGTTTTCAAATGGGTTCGCAACGCCGAGGTAGTGCGCCCAATTGTGGAATAACTTTTCTCACAGACATTGCATCGATAGGTGTAAAAAGTCGCCATATTTCACTTTTCTTTCCCGGTGCCATGGGAAAAAGTGTCAAAATAGCTCAACACAATTCTAAACTCACAAACTACACTAAACTAAAACAAAACAAGCCAAACTAAACAAGCAAGCAGCGAGAAATAAACGCTTTCTATTGGTCGAATGAAACACGTGATGCCTTCTACGCATGCGAGGAAGGACCAACCGTGCGACCACCGGGCTAGAAGATTATTTATTATCTTAAATAAAAATAAAAACAACAAAAATAAAATTAGTTTAATCACATATATAAGATACTCAAAAACATAAAGTAACAAGGCTATCAATATTATTATTAACTAGCTGTTCCCCACGACTTCGCTCGGTATAAATTGTCACGTTTTTTGATCTCATTTTTAAATATTTTATTTCTATATTTTGTTACTCTTTATAAAGACTGACATGCGAAAATTATGTGCAAACTAATTGGAAACGGTATCTGGTCTAGTCAACTTTGCTTTACTTTTACCGACTTCATGCCCATATTCTGATTCTAATTAACTATAAATAGGCCAACGCCTGCTTATTGACACACATATAAATCTGCACACAAAATGATCTATCAATTAACTACAACCTGCTTCACCATACGAGGCTTTGCAAAAATATTTACTCCTATATTATCCCAGGGCATTTCGCCAGTCCTTACCGTTAATTTTTTTCCCATAAAAAAATCAAATGCATCCGATCTTTCCCTTATATTGAGTAATTCCATCTTGTTATAACAAAGTTTGAGAACCATAAAATTACAATTTCTTTATATCAGAGATAAGATCGGATGCCAAGAAACAAAATAGAGAAAATCGTTTGGAACATTTATGTTTCTAGTAACTTATAGGTAGATCATATTATTGAAATATGTTTTTGAGCGTAAACAGCGGCGCCCACCTAAGCTACATGATTTCGACATGGCTTGTAGCATGATTCTGACGATACTCTGATGTGACCACGGGTGACACTGCTTGCGCCTACCTGTGCAACAATAGCATATCGCAGAATTCAGTTTGAGCCAAAATGTCGTCTGAAGAAGATAAACATGCCCTTGCTATGCTAGAGATTTCAAACATTCCAAGTGCCAGCAAAAGATTTCGGGTACATGCTTTGAGGAAAAAATTTGAAAAGTGGTGGTACTTTCAATGCTATGAAGGAATTAGAATTATACTTTGCATAGGCAAGTCACTACAAGTTGCAAGAAGTATCTTGCGAATTCCTGTTAATGTAATCGGGTCTAACAAAAAACTGTAAGAAAAAACGTTATTGTCTTTTTACAGTTTACGTCATGTATACGAATTATTTTATAATCAAACTAACTTAAATAAAACTAGTAATTGTAATAATTTAATATATCTGTGTGTTTGATTAAAAGCTGAAAAATAGATTACGATCTTTATAGGTAATTATAATAGTCTGCGTCTGCGTCAGCGTGCGGTGACAAACTCATAACCACAAATATAGTAAGTATACAGTAATCTATGAACACAAATGATTTAATAAAGTAAACTTACTATAGCAACATGTGTAATAAGTAAGTTCTACAATTTACAGGAAAATGTTTCAATTTTAGCTTGTTTCAATGAGGGCTAATAATTTTCTGCTCACCAGATGTCGCTAGTTGAAACTGAGGTGAAGTTTTTTATTACACAATGTCATTTAATTGAGAAGTTAGTTTTAAATAAACGTTTATAAGCACAGAGTACTTTTTATAAACTGGAATTTATAAGTGTTATTACCACAAAACAATGCCTCATGCCTGGTTTGCTCTTTAATTTTTTGCATATTTTATACTTTTTAAATTTTTCTACTTTTATTATTATTTGTGGTTTGATTAATTTATTTTAATCTTATTAATATAAAATATAGTTAATAGTACATACAGAACGAAACATTAACATTTACATTTTCCAAACTAATCAACTTCCCCGTTATGAAATCTGTCAAATATTATACCTCACTAGTAAGTGGCGCCGCCCTGGTGGCAGAAAAAGTCGTGGATGCCCATTTAGCCTCATTTGACGTTTGCCACTAATGTGACCATATGTGAGCAATTTTCTTCCATTCTGCTAAATTTCTTTATGAAAATAGTTATAACAGAACAGATTACAAAATATAGTGAAGCAGCTAGAGTGTACAACGTGATAATGAAATTTATCTTCTTTTAAAGTATTCTCTTTACTTCTAGAGCATGCTTTACATACTACGGCTTAACTTCAGATTTATTCGTTCTTTTAATTTATTTTTTATCTTTGTTTGCCCACAAACGCGTTCAAAAACATAGACTTAATGCCCAGGACATTTTCTGCCAGTCTACCTCCAGGTCAAGCAGTAAAACATATAATGTGCATAAGTTTTGGAATGAATTTAGATAACAATTGAATTCTAGGTGTAAAAACGTATTCAGTATCAAACTTATACACAACATAAATAAACATATTGTTACGACAGCCAGCTGCGTATTACGTCATATTGCACGAGACCTTTAACTACAAAAAATAATGTTGAAGATTGTAGCAGATAATAATAATAATAATAATAATAATATTCCACAACTATCAAACAACGCCATCTAGTCCCAAGCTAAGCAGAGCTTGTGTTATGGGTACTAGACAACTGATAAACATACTTATATATTTCTAAATACATAAATATTATAGATAAATTACACCCAGACACAGAACAAATGATCGTGCTCATCACACAAACATTTGTCCTGGGTGGGAATCGAACCCACGACCTCCGGCGTAGCAGTCAGGGTCACTAACCACTAGACCAACAGGCCAGTCATGATGTTTAATAATTTTTAATAAGTACATTCGTGAAATATCGTCCATATATCGTCCATATATCCCCATATCACCACGAGGGTGTCGTAAGAGGTGACGTTGGGAAAATTAAACATGAGGTGGGAGGCAGCATCTTCTTGATAACAACTCAAAATAATAAAAAACTGCGGATGACAACCCTTACCAAGCGTAGCAACTATGGCAAAATCTTTTCATGAGGAAAGCTATGAAGGAGGCCTATGATCAGCAGTGGACTTGTATAGGATGTAATGGATGGATGGATATTTTTTTTATAGGTTAGGGTGACAAACGAGCACACAGTCCAGCTGATGGTAAGTGGTTACTGTGACCCATAGACATCTACACCTATCCTCAATAAAGACTGATGCAGATGCGTTGTCACCCGTGAGGACTAAGATAGAATGCCTCTTTTCCAGTAAAAAGGGTATCCGGTTCTCTACACTCACCATACGAAACACAGCAGCGTTAAGCTGCTATTTTACGCTGGTTTTCTGCGAGAGCGTGGTTCTTCCCCGGTTGAGTCGACCCATTCGTGCTACAACTATACTACTAATATAGCTACAGCATGGCTCCACCACGTACAAAATATTGATATTGATGAAAATATTTCATAATTGTGCTTTAGTTAATTAGTCATAGCCTAAGCATTTTTTTTGGTGACTTTGGGAGCTATTCTGCTTCTGCTAATTTTATTAATTAAAGCAGGTTTTCTATTTTTGAGTGGGCCACACTGTTTGTTACTGTCAGAGTGTCAGATTAATTACGTTTACGGCGGTCTCTCGTCTCGTCGTCAGAGAATAGTTGAATATTTCATATTCAACTTACCTTATCAGATCAGTCAGAAGTGACTTTTTCGCTTTTTAAGGCCGACTACTCAATGCTAATTTTCAGTCTTGTTTAAACCGCCAAAGCGCTGTTAGCATATAATATTTTTTGAAGTATATACGCTAAGGTGAAACACTAATTTTCTCTACTAATTTGTTTTACCATGCCAATAAATTAATATTATGTGGTATCTAATTTATAAAAACACATAATTTTGTCACATTTATTAGTTATTATAAGCCCCTCGTTAATGCGTATAGTACAGGTTTTTAGTAGTCTGTAGAAGGTTAATTAGGAACGTGCTTTCTGTTTAGGATATGGAAGACCTTAGTTTTATCCCGGAACTCCTAAGTGGGCCCCTGGACGTTTATAGAAACACCGCCTCGTTCGACTGGAAACGCCTTAAACTGTCCATTGAAGGAGATATTGAGCTATTGAAACTTAAGGTAAGATTCTATTTATGAAATAATAAAGCAAAAGCAAATTAAGTTTTAAATTCTTTTTAAATATTATGTACAAACAATTTTATTAATTTTAGTTTTTGAGGTAATTTTTTAGTTTTTATTGAAAATTGTATATTTTACCCATTCAAACGGGTTTTTATTGTTTAAGTCACTCAAGTGAACTAAACAATATCACCAGCTCAAAGTGACAGCTAGAATGTTACCTAAATAGATCAAAAATATTTATTATACCCTATTTTCAACCTTTACGGGAGAAACTATTTAAACTGAACCATTCTTGATATAGGCTGGAAAACTTTTTATTAACTAATCCTTATTTTTAAAAACCAAGAGGTGGTAAGACCAGAAGGAGGGGTGGGTGCCCTGTCATCCAACCCTACTTGTAAATGCATAGTTTTTTGTATAAAGTTTTGGAAATCCCATAGTTATGTGCCAATTTGAAGTATTTTAGTACAAATTTTCTTTTAAATAAAAGGGGACACACCCCCTCCCGTAAACCTTGCACAAAAATGCATATTATTTTTTGAAATTCCATTCAAAACTAGTATTGAACAAATCTGCAGTCACACTTTCTAACCAACCAAACCAGATTTTAGGATAAATTAGTTGTCCTAGGCCAAATTAGTTTTTGCTAAGCCTAGCAAGATGAATTAGATGTATGCGGCTTTGAGGTTTTGAGCAGCCGTACCTTAACCAACTGTCTCTGACATTAATTTTCCTAACAAGATCTTACGAAAAACTAGTTTGGCCTATTAAACAACTAGTTTGGCCTATAAAAAAAACTAGTCTGGCCTATAAAAAACTAGTTTGTCCTAAATCAATGATCAATAATCATATTTAAAATATCAAAGATTTGCTTTCAGTCACAGTCTTTGGTCAAAATAACTTATATCCAATATATTTTTAGTCAAAAATACTTTTTTTGACCGTTTTCGTTGATACAAACTAGTTTAGATCATCAAATAGTTTTAATTGTAACATTTTTATTTTATAACAAAATAAATATTATTTATTTTTAATTTTAATTGCAAAGTACAAAAATAAGAATATTTAAAAGCTTATGTAAAACTTTGACAAATGTGTACACTTAATGTCAAACAAGCAAGATTAATGATGAAAGATTGTATTAATAATTACCTATTAACCAAATTCTTGAAAACTATGAGTTTACGAGTGCTGAAACTTTGTGTTCATTCTTGAAAACATTACAGTCCAGCAGTTTATTCAAAAGGCTGATTATGAAAGTTAGCATATTAATATATTTATCAAATTACTTTTGTCATATGTAGATCAAAAATAAAATTTGGAAAATCCAAGAGTGCACATGTATTTCGTTTAAACTAAAAAAAATATTATGGACAATTTAAAAAAAAATTAAATTTTAAGGTACATAGTGAAATTCAAAGGATAAGGATTAAAATCTAAAGCTAAGAAAAAAAATCAAAGTGATAAGTTCAGTTTTTCAAAAGATATCTTGTTCACATCCAACTGACATCCAAGTGAAATTATTTTCAATTAACTTTTTTTAATAATAATCGAAAGAAATAATCTTATAACTATGTTAGAAGTATTAATTGAAATCCTCTTGCTATTGGTGTAAATTGTGCTCCGTGTTAGATTTGGTGTCAACAGAACACTACATCTCTGCTTTGCATTTGAAGTGTGCAATTAGATCATTTTTGTATTTCTTTTTGAACATTTCTAATGAAATTTGTTTATTAAATAGTCAAAGAAATTAATTATCACTCATAACAATATTAAAATGTAGCTAACTGTATGGTTATTGAAAAAATAAACTAAATACCTTTATGCCTCAATAATAAATAATTAAAGAACTATTAATATAGCATATTTCAATAATTAGTATTTATTGGCTGTATTTAACTTTTGTCTTCTTTTGATAAAAATATAAAGAAAAAAATTGTACAATCAATAAATTCCACAAAGTTAATAAGTTTGTCATAGATAATTATTTAAAAGCCCAATAAGACCGAGTAAAATTGTATGTGTCATTTGCGCTTGATAAACTTAATTTTTTAACTGACCTTGATATATACAGTCTTGTCAAATATTTTATTTATCAAGTTTGAATCGCCCACTCCAACTGATAAGTTACACAATATTAAACAACAGTTCAAACTTTTATTGTTTTACTATGACACTAATCTATAAAATGATGGCCATTTGGATTATGTAAGTTTTTATCTTATGTGAAATAAATAAATAATTTTAACTTTTTTAGAATAATATGTAAGTAAATGATGTGAATGTGTGGGGAACCTCGTGTAGTGGCGAGTAAGAATACCCAGTACCCCATATCTTCTCGTTGGTGTCGTAAGAGGCGACAGAGGGAAACTGAGGTAGAAGATGAGCAGCAGCGTCGTTCTGATAACAGTAAAACAACAAAAAAAAACTGCGGTTGCCAACCCGCTGCCAAGCGTGGCAACTATTGCAATATACCCCCCAATGAATAAAGTTACGAATAGACGGCCCCCAGTCCCTGGCGGCCCCGCTATTCCTGGCTACGGTGGCGACGATGGTAACGGCGGGGCAAGGGGTGCTAAGAATCTCCGGTGGAGTTTCGGTTGCCACCTAAGACGACTCAAACTGGCAACATATAACGCACGCACCCTGAGTACTGACGAGAAGATCCTGGAGCGGGAAGAAGAGATAGACAAGTTGCGCTGGAATATTATAGCATTATGCGAGGTCCGAAGAGAGAGCGAGGACATGGTATCTCGAATCTGGCGACTTGTTCTATCACCGGGAGGGCGACCATCTGTTCCAAGGAGGTGTCGGATTTATCGTCCACAAGTCTCTCGTTAACAACGTTGTACGTAAAGATTCAGTGTGTGTCGACGAGGGTTGCGTACCTTATACTCAGAATTTCCAAACGGTATTCGCTGAAGGTCATACAGGTTAACGCACCAACCTCGGCATATCCCGATGAGGAGGTGGAGGAAATGTATAAGCATGTATCTAGAGCCATGCATTCCTCCAAAACCCACTATACTGTGTTAATGGGAGACTTCAAATGCAAAACTAGGCACAAGAGATAACGTTGAGCTGAAAATTTGGAAATTTGGAATAGGGCAATGAAACCCCAGGGACCAGCAGCTGGCCGACTTCATGGAGAAAGAGGGACTCTTTATGATGAACTCTTTTTTCCAGAAGCGGCCCTACAGGAAGTGGACCTGGTCGAGCCCCGACTGTTCGACAAAAATGACGTCTCAGTGATCGCGAGGATAAAAATTGGTAGCGATCACCGAATGGTTAGAGGCACACTGAACCTAAACGTTAAGTTGGAGAGGTCTCGCTCTCGTCTAATGAAGTCAACGCTCCGTCCCTCTCGTGCTCTGTTCCAAAGTCCCGAAACCTTTCAGCTCGAGCTACAAAACCGTTTTCAGTGCCTAGAAGATTGCAATGCAGTGGACAATATTAATGACAGGCTCGTGGAAACTGTTCAAGCGGTCGGAGCTAAGTTCTGCAAGACCCGCCGCAAGAACACAAAAACTCTCCGATCACACTCTTAATCTCATGGGTATTAGACGGGAAATGAAGCTGCAGTCTTCAGCAGATTTGACAGCGTACAGGCAACTGAACAGACAGATCTCCAAATGCATGCGGCGCAACTTTAATACTGCTCTTATTGAAGAAGCGAGCGAAACCAGGGCTCCAATGTCTTCTGTCGAAGCTAAAGACCGAGTGCGGCAGCGTCGTTTCTGGGACACCTGAGATTTTGAGTTAGATTGAGAGGTTCTATGGGCAGGTGTACACATCATCGTTTGAGCCACCCGCAAGTGTGAGTAACGATCCCTCTTGGATCTAGTCAATTCTTATTCGACACTATTCCGATGATATTCCGGACGTCGTCAGTCTGAGCAAGATTAGAATGGCTCTCCAGCACCTTAAAAATGGCAAGGCCTCAGGCGAGGATGGAATTACAGCGGAACTTCTGAAAGCGGGTGGAAAACCGATACTTGAAGTTCTTCAGAAGCTTTTTAATTCCGTCTTCCATGGTAGCACTACACCGGAGGCGTGGAGCAGAAGTGCGGTAATCTTGTTCTTCAAGAAAGGCGACAACGGTCTCTTGAAGAACTACAGACCGATTTCCCTTCTGAGCCGCGTCTACGTGCTGTTTTCGAGAGCCATTACGAATCTTCTTGCATGCAAACTCGATGACAACTCGCCTCCCGAACAAGCCGGGTTCCGAAAAGGCTTTAGCACTTTAATAGAAACGAATATAAAAACATAGAGGTGCCCTCTTATTGGATTTAACGTTTCTCGATGTGTCTTTAACGTCGACCGATCAATCATATGCTATTATTATAGCAGCTATGGACCGAGTGACGTCATCCAAGATGCCACCAAGGTGGCAACCAAAGTGACTGCTGTTTGAATTATTCTTAGTTATTGGAAATTAAATATTTTATTTCATGACACTAAGGGCGTAAAAGTTGATATGATTTTTTCGTGTGATGGAAGTCATGATATATAGATTTAATACTTACTAATAATAGATTTATACAATAAAAAATCATGTATATTTCCTATTAATATATCGAAAAGCATTTCAAACTTAGTAATCTTTAAGAACATTATCGATACTTTGATATCGGTAACGTTCCCAAAACGACGTTATATTTATTAGCATCACCTACTGGGGAATAGCTAAAATGTTATCTTAATAAATGCTTAGCGTTGTTTTGCTATTTTTAGCTAGGGCACCCTCTAGCTAAAAATAGCAAAACACACGCGCACTAGCTGAAAGTTTTTGTATATAAATGCTCCCAATGCCCGCTCTATAGTATACCTATATATTTAAATCTCTTTGTATGAAACGAATGCGTCTTGACTTTTTGACGATGTCACTAAGACTAAATGACAAAAATCGGAGACATATCCTATAGGACATAAGTTACAGACGACAATTTTGCCGCTGATGTCCGGTCTATTACTACTACTACTTAAATGTCTTTGGTTTCAGCCATACCGAAGATTAGACAGAGAAATATACACACAAATAGTTATTTATGTCTTAAAGGCACTTATTTGATATTCCAGGACGTTATTTTCCCATCGCCCATAGCTTACTGTGGCAAGATCGGGTATTCTGGTTCTACTGCGGATATTCTTATTACGAAGACTTCAGTTCTATGTTCAGAAATTCCCTGCTTGATAAGACTCACTAAACGAATTTATACTGCCTCATACGGAACAATGTGTATAGTTTTTGGAAGTAATTGGAAATAAAGACTAGAAATGAGTTGGTGGGTGACTCGAACTTTAGGTCTAGTCAGTTTGAATAGCCTATCATGTAGAGGATGTCATGGGGGTCATGGTTGAATAGGGGCAAAAGTATCATTACACTTCTAAGAGGATCAAAATGGTCAAAAAACAAAATATTGGGGGGTGGCTCGAACTTTTGGCATAGTCATTTTGAATAGCCTATCATGTAGAGGATGCCATGGGGGTCATGGTTGAATAAGGGCAAAAAGTTCTCATTACACTCCTAGGGGGTCACAATGACCAAAAACCAAAAATTTAAAAATTCTTCTTTTAGCTATAACTCCACCTCCTTCGGAGTTTCTTACACAGTCTTTACTTGCCGCATCCCACTTGTTAAATTTGTTGGCTGATTAATGTGTGAAAATTATATAATAATAAGGTTATTAGTGAAAATCTATGTTCGCTTAGGGCTTGCACAATTGAATTGACCTTTTTTATGGGTCCCTTAACGCCCCCCTCTTGGTCTCCAACGCTCACAAGGGGGTGTTATCGCCCACTTTGAGAAAGACTGAGCTAGATGAAACATTCTCTGAGGTTATAATTTTTTTGAAACCAAACCACAATGCAATGCCTCACCCCTTGCAATTATACTGGCTCACCATACCGTTCAGATTGGAACAAAGCGGTGCAAGCACAGCTATTTGGCGGCAGAAATAGGTAAGAGGATGATACCTACTCGGACGGATTCCTAGGCAGAAAAAGAGTCCTACAGCCTAGTAAATTAAAGTGAAGCTAAATTGTGATGTTCTGTTTTATTTAAACATGGAACTGGACGGGAAAATAATTGCGCGACGCTTTTTTAACCGACGTCAAAAAAAGGAGAAGGTACTCAATTCGACTGTATGTTTTTTTTATGTGTGTTACCTCAGAACTTTTTTGTAGGTGAACCGATTTTGATGACTTTTTAATTTAAAAACTGGTGCTTCTCATGTGGTCCCATATAAATTTGATCAAGATCTGAACATTAGTTTTTGACTTATCATTATTTATTTAATAATGTGTATTTAATTGACTTCGACTACATTGACGATAATCTCATTTTATTTGTAAGTCGGTTGTACAAAATGATTAATTTTTTACAACCGTATGGTTGTGTTTTTAAATTGATTATACGATTTCAAATGCCGCCTAAAACCGAACGATTCGATACATAGACTTCAAATAGCGTTTATGGATAAAGACCCTTTTTTAGTATCCTTGTATCGCTTGTACAAAAAACAGCACGGTCGACTAACTTTGAAATATGAAGAAAGAAGTGTTCGATCTTTTATTTTTTACAGATTAAGGGTGACAAACGAGCACACAGTCGACCTGATGGTGTGTGGATAGATCATCCACATACACATCTACATTCATTCTAAGAATCAAAATACAGATGTGTTGTCACCCCTGTGGACTAAGATGAAATGCCTCGTTTCCAGTCTTAAAGGTCTCCGGTCTCTACACTCACCATACGAAACACAGCAGCATTAAGCTGCTATTTTACGCTGGTATTCTGTGAGAGCGTGGTCCTACCCCGGTCGAGCCGACCCATTCGTGCTACAACTATAATATAGCTGCAGCGTGGCTCTACCACATATACTTTGACGGCTGTAACAAAAGGAAACTAACGTGACAATTTTCTCCTACAGTACAAGATATGGCGCACACTTGAGAGGGACCCCTTGTTTGCACACAATCAAGTCACACCTTCGGTGGAGGAACAGAAACGTCTCACCCAGTTGCAACTGAAAAAGATCAATGAATACAAATTTGTAACCAAAGAAATTTTCAAGTCGAGCTACAGTAAAAGAGTAAGAACGTTATTACATTCACATTACATTCATGATTAAGTGTGTTTAATATTTTAATCTATATAAAATTAGCCGTGTTCTAGCGGTACAAGAATAACCGCTACGCCATATAATCTCGTCGACAGAGGGAAACAAATCAGGAGATGGGCAGCAGCGTCTTCCTAATAACGACTAAAAATTAAAAATTGCGGTTGCCAACCCGCTTGCCAATCGTGGCAACTATGGAAAATATCCCCCCTATATGAGGCAATCTATGGAGGAAGCCTATATTCAGCAGTGGACTTATCAGTCTGTAACAGTAAAATTAGAAATGCCATATCATCTAGTAGTATATAACTAGTAACACTAGTTTTACGACAGTAATTCATTAATGGACATGAAATTGTATATGTTCATCTATTAAAAACTATTGTGTATGTTCTTAATTCGCCAAGTTTTAAAATTTATAATATTAAGAAATACTTGAACGATACTAACAGGCTACCAGCAACCCGTGGGAATAACTTGATTGCTCGCTGTTTTTAAAATTTGTTCAATTAATTGTTCAACATAATTACAATTTTTTGAAGTTTTCTTTTAGGCATATTACATTGTGTTTTTTTTAAGTCCGGTTTAGGTACTCTCAGGTTTTTCCCACACACAGAGATATTTTTCAAACGAGTAGCAAATTAAAAAAACAATCCGGAATAAAACTGAATTATTCGAAATTATGAGTTGACTAAGGAAATCCCTTTTTTATATATAAGGGTGACAAATGAGCACACTGTCCACCTGTTGATAAGTGGATGCTGTGGCCCATAGAAGTCTATGCATCCACGTCCATTACGAATCAAAATGCAGCATCTGCGTTGTCACCCGTGAGGACTAAGATGGAATGCCTCGTTTCCAGTAAAAAGGGTCTCCGGTTCTCTACACTCACCATACGAAACACAGCAGCATGAAGCTGCTATTTACCTACCTACTGTGTTAAAGTAAAAATTTTTTCAATACTAAAGCAAAAATTTTTCTTGTCTTTGTGATTTAGCTATTAACTATGTAAGGAATAACATGGCATAATTTCAAAGTAATCCTTGAGTACTTTGAAAATATGCCTTACAATAAGTCCTGTTACTCCGTACTAAAGAAATGGTTATCGTCTTAGATCCCTTCGTACGGACAGACGCGTGTTCTCAAATGCTTCTTCATGCTTTCTGTTGTACGAGGCTGTGCTAAATAATCTTTTGGGCAGACAAAGCTACGTATATATATATATAGTATGTACGTATAGCTACGTTGTTTCTAGGACACAACACATAGGCTGTGTTGAGGCTAAGGAGGCATTGCGTTCTGTTCGCACATTTCTAGGTTCCAAACTTTAGGTTAAACTAGGTTCTTTGAGTGGACAATAACTGATAAGAAGTAGAGCATGCAATACCGCAATTTCGCGAATTTCGCATTGTATTTCAGTACCGCAAAAGCGAGATTACAGATGCGAATTGCGGTATTAAAAGCGAACCCGGTATGAAACCGGTGGAACAATAGGTAAATATCTGGATATAACTATCTGCTAAGCATTCCACCAACGAGCGTAGAAGCTGAGAGCATTTTCGGCTGCTGGATACATAAGTAATAAAATTAGAAGTTCTTGAAATGATGAGAACTGTGGATATGCTTTGATTTTGAAAATTAAGATTTGAGTTGTATGTGTGATTAATTGTTAACTTGTCAAGAATATCTATGTGAGAAATAATGGGCTTTTTGATGAATACGTCTCTATTTTTAAACTTTACTAATGCCTTTACTAATGGTTCTTTTTTAGTTATCGCTAACGATTTGTCAAGGTAGTAGATAAATATAAATAAAGTACTTTTTTTTTCAAATTTCGTTAAATCTACAATAACTTTACGTTTTTAAGGTTCTGTGGTTACACAACAAGGAACCCTTATAGTCTCGCCATATCCGTCCGTCCGTCCGTCTTTCCGCTATTAATTACGCCTAGAAACCTGTGAAATAAAACCTTACAAAATTTTTTATTTTGGTTACTTCCCATACAAGTAAATGGAGGATGATTTTTGTTTACCCGTGTATTATTCCATCATGTGTGTGGAACAACAATCATGTTTTCGATTCTGGGGTCCGTTTACGAAATATTTAGCTTTAAAGTGGTATTTTTCATTAGTCATGTGTCTCTCCCCCTCTACCAACTAAACAGTTGCTTTTGGAAATATAATAAGTAGTATACACAATAGTAGTACATAATATAATGAAGTTAAAAGGAAAGCTATCACAGTTGAGTAGAGTTAAGAAGTTAACGAGCAATAGTCGACCAATTGGATTATTAAAAATTTACCTAAAACTAGCTGCATTAATAACTTTGTAATGTTATTGTAAACTGTTAAAAATGAACATTTTATGAAGAAAAAGACTTATATGCATTACTACTATTAGCTTCACTTTTTCATTTGTGGGATCTTTTTTGAATACCATTGCCTATAAGACTGATTTGAAAATAAGTCCTTCAGTTACGATCTTCCTATTAGGGTCCATTTTTAGTCGTTAAGCGGTCAAACCGCGAACTCACTATGCTCATTATTAAGGAAGCCCACGTATTGTGACGGGCAACTACGGAACCCTCCCTCTATATTATGCATGGCCCGCCACTCCACCAGTTTTTTTTTTATTTCTATGATTATACCACAGAATAAATAATAGTACAATAAGTTATACTAGAATTTAAACCTATGCCACAAATCAAATTTCAAAACTAAATACTTTGGATTGGATAAATCCCAAATCATGAGTTTACTTGATTAGTTTCGATTTGTCTTTTTCGTTATTTGTAGGACGACCGGATTGTATTCTGTAAAGACCTTTGTCCAGTTCTCTTTCTTTTCTTATGGAAATAGATGTTGATGGTACTATAATGGCTTTGGAACTCTATATTTTTTTGAAATATAAATGTCTCTGCCAGTGCAGGAGTTGTTATTGTTTTTTCTCTATCGAGCTGGAAAGTCGTAACATAGATTTTGCAGTTGTTGGAGTTCAACAAAATCAATTTTACTTAAGGCGCGGGGTTGCGGGTGGCGCGTGCAGCGTTGGCCAATAGAAACGTTCGGAAACATTAAGTTATATGTACTACGTACTAGAGAAGCCATTCCAAACAAAAATTGTGTCCTAGTCTATGTCTCCGCGCATGCGTGGGAGTAGTAGTCGCGCATGCGCGAAGACTTTAATTTGATATAAAATAAGATATTAATATAAAATAAAAATAAGAATTTAATATAAAATATCTTAATTTAATCTAAACAAACATATTTCTAAATTTAATGTAATAATAATTATTTTATGGAATTAACAAATCTTCAATTTACGCAATATTTAGTTTGTATAGATTGTACTACAGTTCAGTTGAACATAGTCAATGTTCGGAATGGCTTCTCTAGTACGTAGTACATATAACTCAATGTTCGGAAACCAGTGATGTGCAAACAGAACAGATTGCCTTCTTAGCCTCAACACAGCTTATGTGTTCAATAGAAGCATATGTAACTCGTTTATACAATTAGCTTGCCCAAAAGCTTCTTTAACACAACCTCGTACAACTGTTGGCATGAAGAAGCATTTGAGAACACGCCTTACATACACAAGATTTTTTTTAATTAGAAAATAAAACAGCCCCTGCTGTTGTGTGTATATTTGCTTGTATTTCATGTTATGTAATCGTGTAGTGGCGGTGTAAGAATATCCACTACCTCATATCATCCCATGGGAGTCGAAAGAGGCGACAGAGGAAAACTAAACCAGCATCTTCCTGATAACAGCTGAGTAAAAATAAAAACTGCTGTTGCCAACCTGCTTGCCGAGCGTGGCAGCTACGACAAAATCCTCCCTATGAGGCAATCTATGGGAGAGGTCTATGTTCGGCTGTGGACTTTAAGCTGTAATGGGACGAATGGCTTGTGACGTAATCCAGTAATGACCAATAATTAATAGGTCTCATTAGTTGCATTTTATGGGCGGTCAAAACCCGCCTTCTGTTAATTCTTGTAGCACAAGTAGTCTACCTGGTTTTCCATAACCACCACGCTTGTCGCACTTTTAACGCTGCTTCCTACGGTGTGGGTATCTAACATACAAACAAGAGGGGTGGTTAAAATCTATACAAATAAATAAAATTGAAGTGTCTGTTTGTAATGTCAAAATTACAGCTTTTTACTAAATGTATGTGAAAGTAGATACGGGCAGATAGCTGATGTCACAAGGCTGCTTTTATTTTAGAAAAAGAAAAAGAATTAGGGTTCCGCGCAAAAAAATTAAAACTCCAAATAACACGCGGGCGAAGTCGCGGGGAACATCGAGTGGTTAATATGTCGTGTTATATAAAGGATTTGTCATTAAATTAATTTCACTCTGTTTGATCCTACCGTTACTGTGACAGCATATTAAAGTCCACTGCTGAACATAGGTCTCCCCCATGGAATACCTCATATTTTCAATGTTGCTACGCTTGATTCTAACCACTTTATAATTCTGCGAATCCCCGATAGTGATCGAAGATTGTACGCGATAACACGCTAGTGTGTGCACGTTATAAATTGCCATTGTGTTCGTGCCACCACGCAATAAATATGAGTATGAGTTGTTGTGTATAAGCGCACTAACAAATTAACTTATCAAAACAAGCAATATAGTGGGGCCCGTTTATAAAATAAAGGTGACAAACGATCTCGCAGTCCACCTGATGGTAAGTGGATGCTGTAGCCTATAGACATATCTATACAAATAAATAAAATTTAAGTAACTGTTTGTAATGTCAAAATAACAGCTTTTTACTAATTGCATATAAAAGTATATACGATACCTATAACAAAAACACAATTTTTAAAATTTTTGTCGGTCTGTCTGTCTGTCCGTTCTGTCTATTTGTTCCGGCTAATCTCCGAAACGGCTGGACCGATTTTGATGGAACTTTCACTGGTAGATAGCTCACGTTATAAGGAGTAACTTAGACTACTTATATTTTGGAAAAATAATTAGGGTTCCGCACAACAAAATTAAAACTCTAAATTACACGCGGGCGAAGTCGCGGGAAACAGCTAGTTATATAATATCTATCCTCATTTAGGAATCAAAATGTAGATGCGTTGTCACTGCTGAGGGATTAGATGGAATGACTCGTTTCAAGTTAAAAGACTGCGGCTCTCTACGCTCACCATACGAAACACCAACCGCCATTAAGAACCGCTGCTATTTTACGCTCGTATTCTGTGGGAGCGTGGTCCATCCCCGGTTGAGCCGACTCTTTCACGCTACCACCATAATCTAGCTGCAGTATGGCTCTACGTAAAGTATACTGGGTCTCGTTTTCGTTGAATTAATTATCGTTTTTAACCTACTCCTTTAAGCCGGTTAAAAAGGTGAGAAAAGAGATGACTGCTAATAGAGAAGAAGGGAACAGGAAGATATGTTATACCAACCTCAAATGACTTGGGATAATGGCAGGAAAATGAAGAGAAATAGCGGAATAGTTATACTACCATGTATTGGAGGAAACAAAATCTGTATCTTTGCATTAGTTCCCCTTTTTGACATCTATGGGATGAAATGGGGTAATGATCTTTTGTCGCCAGCAAGTGACATGAGACGTACCATGAAGTAGTAGTAGTACAATGATAACGCACGAATTAGCTTGGTTGGGATTTCCAACCAGACTTACGACTGAGTCGTGTGACTCAAATGTAATAATTCTCTACCATCAACGCATTATGCTTGTCTTTACCTGCTCATAAATGTTGTATATTTTGTATATGTTGCAGGTTTATCATTCATTCATTCTTTTTAAAATCGTAACCTCCACAACGTGAATTTTTCTCCTATATCGTGGCACTTTACGTACATTAATTTCACAAGGACAAACATCCAGACCCGGAACAAGTATTTGTAGACCATAAAAACACTTGTTCCGTGCGGTATTAGAACCCGCGGCCCTTAGCGCTGCAGCCCATTGCTAAGCCACTGCGCCGTCAGTTTTCTTTCTTTCTTAATCATTATTATTCCCTAAAAGTTTTCTTTTATTGTATGGAAGATTTTCTTTACCACTCATAGCAGGTAGATTCAGGATGACAGTACCAGATGTCCCGTACCCTTGACGCTGCTCCCCGTCGCCGGTCTGCGTTTTTAGCACCTGGCTTAAAGAGATGTTGATGCCACTTGGTAGTCAGCTATAGCTCTGCAATTAACAATATTATTTAAACAGCAATATTGAAGCTGTGATGGCTCGGAGATATGGAGTATCAATTTTTAGGGTTCCGTACCTCAAAAGGAAAAAACGGAACCCTTATAGGATCACTTTGTTGTCCGTCTGTCTGTCTGTCTGTCTGTCTGTCTGTCTGTCTGTCTGTCTGTCTGCCAAGACCCGTTTTCTCAGGAACGCGTGGAGGTATCAAGCTGAAATTCATATCAAATACTCAAGTCTACTGTCCATTGGAGCTGTGAAAAAATCAAACTTCTAAGCCTACGCAATCAAAAGATACAGCCGTTTATGCCGCAAATTTTCGACATTCGCAAGGGAATCAAAACCTACAGGTTACTTCCCGTGAACAACGTTTTATAGCACAGATAAAGGAAAAATTGCGAAAAGCATAAATTTTTAGTTACATCATATAATAAAAATATTTTTAATAATTTTAAACTTATATACGTGCGGATTTGTTCGGAACCCTCGGTGCGCGAGTCCGACTCGCCCTTGGCCGGTTTTTTTATGTACGTGGTAGCAATTCTGCAGCTATATTACTGGTATAGTTGTAGCACGAATGGGTTGGCTCGACCGGGGAGGGACCACGCTCTCAAAGAATACCAGCGTAAAATAGCAGCTTAACGCTGCTGTCTTTCGTATGGTGACTGTAGAGAACCGGAGACCTTTAAGACTGGAAACGAGGCATTTCATCTTAGTCCACAGGGGTAGCAAATCACAAGCACCCATACTCCCTCCTCCTAAAATACATTAACTATCTATATTGTTTCTTTTAATTTGATTAAAATATATTCTTAATATTATAAAGTTACGTTTTAACTGCTCTCACTGGTAATAATGTTTAGTTTAGAATGCAAATTTAAACGTGGTACAGCCATGTTGCAGCTATATTATGGTTGTAGCACGAATGGGTCGGCTCGACCGGGGAAGGACCACGCTCTCACAGAATACACATTAGCACTGCTATGTTTCGTATGATGATTGTAGAGAACCGGAGACCCTTTTTACTGGAAACGAGGCATTCCATCTTAGTCCTCACGGGTGACAACGCATCTGCATTTTGATTCGTAATCGAAGGTAGATGTAGATGTCTACGAGCCACAGCCACCACTTACCATCAGGTGGACTGTGTGCTCGTTTGTCACCCTTATCCTATAAAAAAATTTAAATTTGAAAACTGGCACTGACTGTGGCAACTCTGAAATTGTCTCACTCCTCTTGACTTGCTGATTTTTTGTCAACAGACTCGTGCCATTATGACCATCAATGAGGCGGTGCAATCACTGAACCCCAGTGTGTCGGTCAAAATGGCGATCGGTATATATCTGTTCTCCAATGCCCTGCTCTCCCTCGGCACCGAGCGTCACCATAAGTTCTACGAAGCAACCATTGTGAATAGAGAGGTAAGATTTTTGTACAGTTAAATTTTTTTGCGATGATCGTTTCACTGGTTGGCTTTCATACGGAGTATGTAAGTGTTGGTCGATTTAGAACTACGATTATACTTTTCTATTGAATTCGATGTTAACTAATTAATTGCTCACATCGGACGCCAAGCGGAAATGTAGTGCTCTATGAGGCCAGCCACGACTTTTTCTGCCACCAGAGCGGCGCCACTTAAAAATGAGGTGTAATATTTGACAGATTTTATAGCGGGAAATTTAATTTGTTCGAAAGATGTGAAGGTTAATGTTTATTTCTGTACTATTATATATATGTTATATTTTGTATTAATTACATTAATAATAAATTATCTAAAGTAGCGATGTAACGATACATGAATTTGCCGATACGATACCGATACCGATTATCGAGAAAAATAATCGGCGATACCGATACCGATACCGATATCGATGGCTTAGTAGTAAATACACCCAGTAAATAAAGAATGATGTACTTTATGTACATAAAACTTACTTATGTTACATGGAATAAATAGACACTCCATTCTGTAAAGTGTGGCAAAATTGAAAATTAAAAATAATGAAAAAAAAGGTAAAATATCATATCAACATTTATTTGGGTAACATTTATCAAGGCATCAAATCAAAAGTAAATCAATATTAATAATCAAAGTTCACTTTAGGAAGATTTTTGTTTAGGAAACAAAGTTTATTCAAATTACTAGCAGATAATCTGTTGCGCAAATCATTTTGTATGAGGCCTGCAGTTGAAAAAAGACGTTCTGAGGCAACTGAGCTCATTGGGTAAGATAAATATTTTTGTGCAAGCATTTTCAATTTTGGGTATTTATCTTCATTGCTCCAATAGTTCTTTGGATCTTGTTTCATTGGAATATTTGGACATCTCGTATAAGATTCCACCTCTTCTTGCTCAGGATGACTAGACATGTTTGATAAAGGTTCCTCCTCTTCTGCTTCTTTAATCAAACTGTCACAAGCACTCCAGATACCTGAGAAAGTCTCATCTTGCTTTTTTTGTGACTCTACACGCTCTACAGGAACATGTGTATCCCTGTTTGTAATTAAGGAGATAAGTATTCTTTTCGCCTCAATGCTTGTGGATTGTAGAAAGAACGTACGCAATTTATAGCGCGGATCTAGTGTTGTTGATAAAATAAAGGTTTCCTCACTCTCTAGATAATCAAATCTGTCATTTATTCCAGCTAACAAAATCTCTACAAAATTATAATATTCTGGGCTGCTGTAACTGTCGTCCGCGGTCTCTTGATTATTTTTGATCTGTTTTAAAATTTTTCGCATACTGTTAATAAGAGGTATAGCGTCAGATAAGCAAGCAGATTCTTCACTTATAGATTTTGTAGCTTCTTCAAAATAATTCAAAGTCGAAACAACTTGTTCCATCAATAGCCATTCTTCTGTAGACAATTCAGTTCTACATTTCACATGAGGCAAAGAAGCTTGAATTGCAACTCGTTGCTCTAAAAGTCTTCTAAGTGCATGAAGGGTTGAATCCCAGCGAGTAACGACATCCTGAATGAGAACGTGACAAGGAACGTTATGAGATTTTTGCATTTCTGTTAGGATTTTGCGACCTGACGTTGAATGACCGAAGTGGCCAATAATAGATCTCGCCTTTGTAATCATGGCATTTATTTTCTCTTCAAAAAACGCATCCTTCAGCACTAATTGTAAAGAGTGCGCCATACATCTGATACGTTGAACTCCCACTAGTGTTATAGCAAGCCCCATATTCGGTGCATTATCTGTCACTACAGCACGTACCCGTTCGCTGATGTGCCAATCTTGAAATAATTGACGTAAGTTTTGAGCTATGTTTTCAGCGCTATGATTTTCGCCTTCAAAAGGAAATACTTCTAGGCAGTAGTTCTTCAACTCAAAATTTTTATCAAGTCCGTGAGCAGTCACACTTATAAAGTCGTTAACGGACGAAGAAGCATCGCTTGTCCATAAGTCAGTCGTGATAGTGATGTGCGGAAGTTCATGCAAAAGTTCCATTATTTTGGTTCTTACACGGCAGTACATGTCTGGTATTACATTTTCCGAAATATGGGGACGGGAAACCATTTTGTATTTCGGGCAAAACTGCTTAATAGTGCGTTGAAACCCCAGTTTATTTACTAAGTCAAACGGCTCCATGTCTACACACATTTGTTCAGCTATTGTTTGCGTGATCGCTTTTGCCCTAGGGTCATCGGTATCATACATGACACTTTTTTCCAAAATGTGCTCCAAAGTAGCTTGTTTTTTAGGCGGCGGGCCACCGTCGGCGCTTGAGGTACCTGGGGTGTCTTTTTCCAACTCCTTTTCGTGATAGCGCTTCACGTGTGTCCACATGTTAGATGTCGTGAAGCCCTTCGATGAAACTGCTTTGCTACCACGAGAAACGCTGACATTGCAATATAAACAAGTCGCTTTTGTGTCATCATCCCGTTTTATTTGAAAATGATTCCAGATGCTACTTCTATGTTTTAAAGGAGTCGCCATTTTATTTATCGTACGTAACTGTATTACAGTCCTCACTTCACTCAAAAACAGACAAAATCATGAATAGCGGCGACGAGACGTAAATTCGCCGAAAAACATTACAACGCTGGGCCAAAACTAAGCAAACACTGACGAGTGACGACCGTTAACCGCATTGCCGTTTCGCTGGCGGGCGCATCCTTCGCCCCTCCCGCCCTCTGAGACGGAGTGGCAACGTGGTCGCGCGCGAGCGCGTCGTTCTTTTCGCGCGCTTTTCAAACTGTTTATCGGCTGTATTTAAATCGGCGATGCCGATATATCGGCCTGCCGATTATATCGGCCGATATATCGGTATCGGTATCGGTATCGTTACATCGCTAATCTAAAGCACAGAACAAAAAACTTTACCTTAGTGTCAAGTAGCGACATCTGGTGAGTGGAATAATATTAGCGCTCACTTAAATCACTTCCACCAGCTTTATATTGCACTTGTATAATAAAAAGTACCTACACGAATAGCACGAGATTTCAATTAATACTTCTTGTACTATTATTTATTCCGTGTTAATACTTCTGAAGTAGTTATATAAGATTATTTATTTCGATTATTATTTAAAAAAAAGTTAATTGAAAATAATTTCACTTGGACGTCAGTTGGTCGGTATGGATGTGAACAAGATATCTTTCGAAAAACTGAACTTATCACTTTGATTTTTTTTATTCGCTTTAGATTTTAATCCTTAAGATGAAAGCGCCAGGGTAACCTACGAAATTCAAATTTTCTTACGTTTTTTGCAATTTTTAGGTCAGTGTCAGGTTGTATGGCTATTTCCAGAAAAACTCATTCAAAGGGATTATATGAACCTAGAGGGTTGTATTGGTGATATAATGATAATAATTCTGTAAACACATACTCGTTACGGTCGCGAATCATATTTTGTTAAACATACAACCTGACCCTGACCTGCAAATTCCAATAAACGTAAGAAAATTTGAATCTCGCGGTACACCCTGCAGCTTTCACCTTAAGAAGACTTTTGTGTTTCACTATATAATATAGTTTACGTGGTAGAGCTATGCTGCAGCTATATTAATAGTATAGTTGTAGCACGAATGGGTCGGCTCGACCGGGGAAGGACCACGATCTCACAGAATACCAGCGTAAAATAGCAGCTTAATGCGGCTGTGCTTCGTATGGTGAGTGTAGAGAACCGGAGACCCATTTTACTGAAAAAGAGGCATTCGGTCTTAGTCCTCACGGCTGACAACGCATCTGCATTTCAATTCGCAAACTAATATAGTTGTCGATGTCTATGGGTCACAGCAACCACTTACCATCAGGTGGACTGTGTGCTTGTTTGTCACCCTTATTCTATAAAAAAAACGGTTGTCTGTAAAGTCGGTTAACTGACGATAGTTGAACGTGACAACGTCATAAGAAAATGTTGCTATAAACAATTGACACCACATTCACTTTTCACTGCACTTCATACTTGACGAAAACATGTAAATGTATTATTGTATAGCTGCTGTCCATGCGGACGCATCGCTCACTCAAGTAGGAGAGAGACAGATTTCGAACGCTGCTGAACGCGGAGGCCGATTATGCTCTTTGTCGCTCGTTCCGCGCTCTCGCTTGCACTTCGAGCCTTAAATGGAACGCCTCAGAGCGAGGTAACGCCGCATGAGTCATGTTTTTTCGTGCGTGCAGCCAGCTTCATCGAATTTATAAGACGTTGTCACGTCAAAAAATATTTTTGTCATTTTATTTGACAATTTTAATTATTTGACATTTTTTTTCGGTAACAAAGTACGAATCACCGATATCAAGCAGTCAAAAATATTTCGTGTTAATTAAACACAAGCAATTTTTGTATCATTAAACGAATTAATAAAAGTAAATCGATTAGTCGAAACGTTACATGAGCGTTCAAGGTGTTCGCTTTTGGATTTTCCAAATATTTATTTTTCTGTAGTTATGGCCGTAATTTAATTAAAACTAATTGAAGCTGTGTTTATGAGATGAGGTGAACTTTGAGGTGGGAATTTCATTGTACTCGAGCAACACAAGGTCGATTCCACAGTCATTTGTGAAAGAAAAAACATCGTGAGAAAACCTGCATGTGTGAGATACGAGGGAAGGTCAAAAAGTTCGCGGAATGACTGGGAAAGATTATGAAATGAAACATTAAACTATTTTTCCTTTTTAATGTATTCTCCCTTAACCCTAATACATTTATTAGATCTGTCAAATAACTTATTAATACTGTCTAAAAAAAAGATTTGTCTTGGACGTCAAAATAGGCCGAAATTGCCGACTTCACTTTATCATCATCGCCAAATTTTTTCCCACGCAGTTCTGTCTTCATTTTTGGAAACAAATAATAGTCGCTTGGGGCCAGGTCTGGGCTGTAGGGTGGGTAGCAGCAATTGTTCAAAACCGCACCCGTGAATGCGCCCGTGCACACAAGCTATGTTGCGACAACATGGCTTGTGTGCACGGACGCATTGTCGTGCAATAGGAACACGCCTTTTTGAGCTTTCCTCGCCTTTTTTCTTTAATAGCTTCTTTTAATTGATCTAATAAAGAAGCGAAGTATTCTACCGTTATGGAAACACCACGTTCCTTATAATCAATCAAAAGGATACCTACTGTATCCCAAAAGATCGTCGCCATGATCTTTCCGGCCGATTGAGACACCTTATACTTGTTAGGAGGGGGTGTGCCTTTTTTATGCCACTGCATCGAGTCTTGTTTTGACTCAGGTTCATAATGGTGAACCCAAGTTTCATCGCTAGTTACAATTGCCTTAATAGGGCCTCCATCGGTCATGTCGTACAGAAGTTCACTGCGTAGTGACGGTGTAAGAATATTCACTTACCTATGTCATACCGTGGAAGTCGTAAGAGGCGACAGAGAGAAAAAAACCAGGAGATGGGCAGTTGCTACTTGATAATAATAACTTAAAACAAAAAACTGTGATTGCCAACTTGCCTGCCAAGCGTGACAACTATGGCAAATATCCTCCTTATGAAAACAAACTATGGACGATCACTAACAGATGAACCAACGATTATATCGTACCAAAACATGAAGATGTACAATGTACATCTCGTTTTCTAATTTATATAATTATACTTTTAGAAAATGATACCATCCACACCATCTGGATGATTGGCGGTCCACCACTGTGCGATTTAGAAGATGTTTTCTTCCTCGCACAACTTCCTTGTGGAATAGTTTACCACCAGCGATTTTTCAGGACCGATACGACTTAGGGACCTTCAAGAAAAGAGCCTACTCCTTTTTAAAAGGCCGGCAACGCATCTGCAATTCCCCTGGTGTTGCGGTTGATCATGGGCGGCGGTAGTCACTTACCATCAGGTGAGCCGCATGCTCGTTTGCCCCATCTCCTATAAAAAAAAGACGTATATATTGAAATCACTAAAAAACTACTAAGAAATAAGAGATGAAGTGTCTTTAAAATTCGGGCCATAACTTCCACCCTTTGCTCTCCACGGCGGTCTAAAAACTAGCGGCAGCTTTCTACGCGCTCAAGTTTTTGATGCGCAGAAAGCATTCTCGGAACCCATCTTGCACCGACTGACTAGTCATACCAATGTGTTGATGTAGGATGTTTAAAATGGTTGTTTCTGATAATCCAACTAATGCTGCAACCTGTTTTTTTTAGCCGGGCATCTTCCGATACAAGTTTTCAACTTTTTCAATTATTTCTGGCGTGGTAGCCTCAATCGGCCGTTCAGGTCGGGGGCGTCTTCAATGGAGTCCTTCCCTTGGTGAACAACAATTATGGTTTTAGATTTTCCCGCGGAACCCTAATTGTTTTTATAAAACAAATGTAGCCCAAGTTACTCCTGATATCAGCTATCTGCCAGTGAAATTTCCGTCAAAATCGGTTCAGCTGTATCGGATATGAGCCGGAACAAACAGACAGACAGACAGACAGACAGACAGACAAAAAAAATTAAAATTGTTTTTTTGTGTACCGCATATACTTTTATAGTCATTTAGTAAATAGACACTTCAATTTTATTTATTTGTAGATAGATGTCTTCTATTTGGATGAGTTATTATTTTGATACAAGATCCAACGTTCAACATGACTGATAACTGACATAACTAATCACTATAGTGATAAAAATAAAAAACAGTATTAAAAATTTTTTGTTGGGTTCAAACACAAGGCTCTGTGAATAAAAGAAAATTGTTAAAGATTAGGCAGATCATCATTTAACGATCTTATTTTTTACGACAGCGTTGCTGTTGATTCTGAGTTTCCAGCAAACGGCTATTGTCATGGAGACGATGGCTTTAATAGAATCTGTACTGTTTGAAACCTAATTCGAATTCCAAACGGACAGTTAAGTTGAAATTGTAGTGCTGCTATAATTTTAAAATTGGATGTTACCCAGTGCGTATTTTATCAGTTATTATTTCTACTCACTTATGCAGAACACACTAAATAAGATGAGTTGATAGATTAACATTGCAATTAAGTAAGATGCTAGCTCAAATTAAAAGAAATAACTTTTTTAACAAAGTTCACAAAACGACAAAGAGTAATGACACGTTACACTTACTGTCTGATCCTCATTAAATTACCTTCCGTAAATATTTTTCCCGTCGCAAATATTATTTTCGAACTACCAGGATGCATGACTTCGCCGTTTTCCCGTAAGGATATTGCCGCTAATAATATGATAATAATAATAAAATATCACCCATGCTGATTTCGGCAAGGCGACAATAATTTTTGCGTTAGATTAAGTAACATGTTGTGTAACTTTTGTTTTATAACACGTCCACATTATGTTACATTGTTTTTCAACATTGCAAAATATAACAATGCATTATAACAATGTTATATGACATTGTCGATTGTCGTTCTGCAGTGCTATTCACAATGTCGACACAAGAGGACGTTTTGCTAGCTTTTGCAGCAACTCTTGTACTTTTAAATAACAAAAGAAAAAAACATAGATACTGGGTACGTCCTAGTTTATTGACTAGAGTAAAATACTCTCTAGTTATATAACATTGTGTCTGTTTATATAACACGTTTTATAACATTCAGACTCCATATTACTGAAACATGTTACAGCACATCATTTGTAACATGTTATGTTATATAATATGTACGCACCGTTACAATCAATACCCATACGCATGGTTCTGGCAGAAGAAACATGAAAGCAGAATAAATGCAGTTGAGATGAGAGCGTTAACAAGTATGATCGGAGTTAAACTGTGTGACAGGATAAGAAATAGTGAGATAAGAAAACGTTGTGGTCTGAAAGAAGATGTAGTGATAAAAATTGAGAAAGGTATGCTGAGATGGTTTGGCCATGTCGAGAGAATGAATGAAGAACGATTGACGAAAAAAGTGTATAAGGCGAGTGTGAATGAAAGTGTTGGAAGGGGTAGACCTAGGCGGACGTTTCTAAACCAAATCAGGGACGTCTTGAAAAAAGGCCAGATCAAGAGTACCCTAAACCGAAGAGCATGTATGAAGGGAATAATGAAAGTGGACGAAGCGAAACAAGTATTTAAGGATCGTAGGAAGTTGAAAGTAGTGGTCTCTGCCTACCCCTACGGGAAAGAGGCGTGATTATATGTATGTATGTACAATCAATAGGGATTCGGAGATATGCTCTGATGTGGCTAATGTGGCTAATCTTTATAGCACACACATGTGGGGATGCCGTTTACATAGCTATAAACAATGTTAGATGGTGGTCTACTTTTGACAATCAAAATATATAATTATAGTAAGTTACGAGGAAAAGCAGGATTGGCCTTTGCCTGTTAGATTATTTGACAGGAAAGCCGCAGCCGAAGGAAAACCAACAGTGTTTGTTTAATAACAACAGTATGGTTTTACCCAGTTGGGACGATTTATGTCACATCATTATTTTTATAAATAACTTTTGATTATTTACTTAAATGCAAATACGTTTCAAAGGTGTTTTCTTTAAATTTTTACGTATTTCAGAGGATTCCATGGTTTCATGATTCAATATGGATGTGTGTAAAACGGCTTGTCTGAACCGACTCCGGAATACTGTAAATTAATAACGAGGCATCTTAGTACGATAACGTTAACCTATCTAATATATAAAAAATTATGTTTGTTTGTTTGTTCGTATTTTATGCGCTGTGCTTGCACTTACGCAAAGATTATAGTTATAGGCATATACAATAAACTTACAGTAGGTGCCGCGCGTATTACCGACAAATTTATTTGAAACTTATATATCATTCAGCTTCAATAATAATAAAATTTATTTCAGACCCACATACAGTACATAATTATGTTAGTAAATTAGCTTAACCTATGTTAGGGCTATGTTAGGATGGTTTATATGGATGGGACATTCAAATTTATCAGATATTGCCCTCAGAATGCTACTGGAGCTCTCACGAACCTTTCTTTTGAATAATGGTATGTAAGCCGTCAGTACCGTACGCTGTAAACATCGTTGACGCGTTACATCCTATCAGCACCCTAAAGGCATTATTATATTGTACTCGAAGGGCATTATAGGTTCTCTGCCTATACTTAATCCATAGACAGCACGTGTAAAATGACTGACAAAAGGCTTTAACAGCGTTATCTTAACTTCTCTAGCACAGCGTGCAAAGCTTCGGGACATCATGTTGCAACGAATCGCCATAGTCCTTTTTTCTCTATCTATGTCCGCGTTAACTTTTGCAAATTTAAAACGATATTTCCGCAATTATTTCTTCTGCGGCTGCAACTTATATTATATAGAGTGGCGTATTAAATATGGGGCAGTATGATGAAAATGTAAACTGCAAGGGAAGACGCGTACTGGAAAGTCAAGTCAGATTTGTATGGGGTTAAGGCGCGGGCGCTACGTAGTCGTTGGTGCGTCTGTTAGTGGTCGTGTAACTTCTAATCGACTTGACCGATTGAAGTCATATCAAGTCACACATATATTTGTTTTGTCGAGACAATGGTTCGACATTACTTAGAGTTAAGAGTCCTAAAGTTGGGCGATTTAGTTTTTTTTTATAGAAGTGGGGTCAAACGAGCAATGCGGCTCACCTGATGGTAAGTGACCGCCGCCCATGAACAACCGCAACACAAAGGGAATTGTAGGTGTGTTGCCGACCTTTTAGAAAGGAAACGCTACATTCAAATTATTAATAAATTTTTATGTTTATGGTCATTATATATCCAATATCTGCCAAAAGCTGCGAGACCGTGTAGTGGCGATGTTAGAATATCCAACAGCCCATATCGCCGCAAGGGTGTCGTAAGAGGCAAAAGGAAAACAAACTAGGAGATTGACAGCAGTGTCCTCCTAATAACGACTAAAAAACCGACAAGAAAACTAAAACATAAAATGTGCAGCAGCATCTTCCAGAAATAACTCAAAATTATAAAAACTACGATTGCCAACGCGCCTTCTAAACGTAGCGACTATGGCAATTTTCCGGGTAAAGAAATAAAGAAACATATTTCGTCAACCAACATTGAGAATCATAGAAATTCGTACACATTAAGAATAATTAACTAAGTGGTAGGACTCCATTACTGCCTAGGCGTCCGTCTGGGTACGTACCACCCTCTTACCTAATTCTGCCGCCTGCAGTGTGCCAGTCTGAAGGCTATAGAGAGCCAGTATAATTAAAAGCTGTGAGGCATTCAATCTTGGCCCTCGGAAGTGGCAACGCATCTGTGGTCTTCCGTGTTTGAAGTTCGTTGCTGGTGGCCATAGGCTGCAGGTCGCCACTTATTGTCTGTTGGAATGTAAGTTCGTTTGTCAATTCAATTTTTATAAATATCCAGTTGTGGACTTAAAATTCTATTGCCTAGCTGTTGTCGAACGTTACGTTGACTGAATGAATAATTTCGGGACTCTATACCTGCATTATTTCTTTCAGATACTGGCCAGTTTCGCACTGACTGAGATCGCACACGGTTCCGATGCCCGCTTGATGCGCACCACCGCGACCTATGACCCGAAGCGTTTTGAGTTTGTCGTGCACACGCCAGACTTCGAGGCCGCTAAATGCTGGGTTGGTAATCTAGGTAAAATTTCCGTGTGGATTTTATTTTGCTTTTGTTATGATTTGATAACCGATGTGTTCTGATTGGTACGTTTTAACCATTACTTTCATAGTTTTAGCGAGAATGCTCGGGGAAATTGTGTGGGATCGTTTATTTTAACCTCGTAGAACGTTTGCAGTACTTATTAATTAATTTATTGATAGTTACACGCTTCAACATAACACACATACAAAATAAAAACATTAAGTGTCTAAATTTAAACGTTTTGCAGAATTAACACTTATATGAAGTTGTATAAATAAAGGACAATTGTAGGTTATATATTATATTGACAGGAAATTTTAGCGCTAAGATTAAAAAAATCGTGTATTGGCTAAAATTAAAGCTTTCCTACGTGGTAGAGCCATGCTGCAGCTATATTATGGTTGTAGCACGAATGGGTCGGCTCGACCGGGGAGGGACCACGCTCTCACAGAAAACCAGCGTAAAATAGCAGCTTAACGCTGCTGTGTTTCGTATGGTGAGTGTGGAGAACCGGAGACCCTTTTTACTGGCAAAGAGGCGTTCCATCTTGGTCCTCACGGGTGACAACGCATCTGCATCTTGAGTCTTTATTGAGGATAGATGTAGATGTCTGTGGGTCACAGTAACCACTTGCCATCAGGTGGACTGCGTGCTCGTTTGTCACCCGATCCTATAAAAAAAAAAAAAAAAAAAATAATATAAAATTAACAGAATGAGACGCTACTTATGAACTCACTGTGGATACACTTATTTAGAAATTTATTTGTATGGATTATTTGTAAAAGATTGGTATTGCTTACAAATCATTGTATGAACGCATGAATGAGTGTGTTCAGAGGAGTATGTTTCCCCAAATTAGTTCTAAACCTAGTTGTAATTAAAAGTGTAGTAACTAGGGATCTAACTATGGTGCGAAAAACGGATATATTTATAGAAACGGATATATTTATTCACGAGGGACTCTGAAGACATTATTTCACCATAAATTTATTTGAAGTTAGGGCACCGCAAGCTTTGCACCTTATTTTCATTTTAGCACTATAATCAGCGCAGTTGGGTTGCGGTGGCGCATCCATCAGCATTCAATCCTGTCGCTATGAAATTTATAATAGGGGGTGCAGACTCCAGATCTGTGACATATACGGTGACTCATAAGTATGCTACAAATCAGAGCGTTGTATAAGTAAGAATTATTTCGCGATAATTTCTGTTTCAAAATTTTTGGCCAAATTAAAAAAGAAAACGGAAAGTCTTCATCTTCATTTTAACAGTGGTAGAACCACGCGGCAGCTTTTGCTGTCGCACGGGTGGGCCGGCTCGAACCGGGGTGGTACCGCGACCTCACAATACCAGCGTGAAGTAGAGGTTTACCTCTGCGTTTCGCTTGGTAAGTGCAGGAGGCTGGAGGCCCAATTCCCCCCTCCCCCTCTCCGCCTGCACCTTCCCTGTTGGACGTTCTGTTGACCTCTCATCCGGATAGAAGATATCAGGTTTCTGTTGACACTCCTTTAGGCTTGTCGGACTATTGTCTTATACGGAGTGTGGTGCCACTCACACTAACGTTGCGGTTGCATTCTGCAGGCTGCCGCTGTGTTTGGCACTATAGGTCGGCTGATTGGAATAGGCCGCTTTTTTGCATCCTACCTTTGTGGGCGGATTTTCTTCTCGCCGGAAAGATACCAACGTTGTTGCTGATTCTGTTGCTGATGTGGTACTTCAAGGTATGGATCTTTTTATTCCATCCTCTGTGGTGCCCATCGGAGGAGGATCCCAGCCACGGTTTGGTCACTTCTGTAAAATAGCAACACGCTATAAGCAGGAGTGCTTATCGGGCCTGGGCTGACGCATCAACGTCTTTGGATGTAAACACCAGCGCTTTTAAAAAGAAGTATAATTCCGCCTCCAGGTCCTTCAAAAGAGTCATTGCCAAGGCAAGGTCTGAGCACATCGAATCTACCAAGAGTAGTGCTCTGAGGAATTGTTCGGATTAATTCCAGTCGCCAATTCTCACGAAAGCACATCGCGTCTAAATTCACGATACCATCCTCACCATCTGGATGCTTGTCGGTCCACCACTGTACATTTTACTAGGAGTTTTCTTTCTCGTACAACTTCTGCGTGGAGTTGTTTACCACTGGCGATTTTTCCTGACCGATACGACTTAGGAACCTTCAAGAAAAGAGCTTACACCTTTCTAAAAGGCCGTCAACGCACTTGCAATTCCCCTGGTGTTGCGGTTGTTCATGGGCGGCGGTAGTTACTTACCATCAGGTGAGCTGCATGCTCGTTTGCCCCCTAATCTAAAAAAAAATCAGAACATGACGATAACTTTTTAATGTATGTATGTACGCGAACGCGAACACACATACAGATAAGTCTGTCATGAAATCCGTGTTCTCTTCTTCATCTTTTTTTATTTTTGACATCGCATATTTTAAACCAAATTTACAAGGATAAGTTTCGTCTCCGTGGCGCAGTAGATGATATGCAGCGCTGATGGCCTCAGGTTCGAATCTTGCACGGAACAAGTATTTGTATGATTTACTAATAATTGTTGCGGGTCTGGATGTTTGTCCTTGTGAAATTTATGTTTTTAAATTGGCTACACGATACAGGAAAAAATTCTAGTGTTGGGGATAACGTTAAAAAAGTACTTAAATTAAAAAATAAACAAGTTAATCTATACTTTGTTATCGACTATCCTAGCGTGTTACAACCGCCGACGAATACGAAGGGTGTTATATATGTTTGTACTGTGTATCTGTGTATCCTGAACGGATGAACCGATTTTGATTAGGTTTTTTTTTTTAAATTTGAAAGGTGTCTTAATCTAGAGTATTCTTAGCTATGTTTCAAGAAAATCTGTTCACCCGTTTGAAGATTATCAGCTCTTTTTGATTCGGGAGTTTTTAAATTTTTTAATTTAAGTTATACTTATTGCTCTAACTATAACCTCGGCAATAATAACGCATTTTGGGGTCGCAATAGTGTTCTTGAGTTCCGTCCATTTGTGAAGTAAAAAAACATGCGTTAGTGTCGGGGAACAAAGTTCCTTCCATTGTATATTATTATTCATAAACGTATTATATTATTGAATTTTAGCTTTCTGAACTCCTTCTCCATATAAATCTCACTCTCCTCACAAAATCATACTCCGTGTGCGCAATACCCATAAAAAGGTGTACAAAGTCTGGGGGCACGGCAGTGCCTCCGCCAAGTCGAGCAAAAAAGCGGCACGGTCGTACCATCCTTTTCTCGAAGCAGTTCAGGCCATTTTCGAAACCCTATAGCATCGTTGTGGATAAAACTAGAAGCCTGAATTCAGTAACCAAGTAGGCATTGTATAAACTCGGTATATTTCAAATTTCATCAAATTTGAACCAGTAGTTTAAGAATTAGAACTAGTCAAAGTTTCTTAATTTTGTCAATCACAGACTAACCGATCATCAAAACTCTAAGGCACTTCTAGTAGACATAGAAGCTTCAAATATAAAAGAATTTTAGCATTGATATGGTCACTATAAGATGTTGTTAGGTTAGCTAATTACGTAATAACTGAGAAGGACCCTTAAGTAGGGACTGAATAAATTAACCGACTTGGTATTACATGGATCTCACAACTTTTTACGGTAGAAGAACTGAGTTGCGAGACTTGGTTTTTTTACAAGTTATGTTTTTGATGGCATTTTCTCTTCACGTATTCGTTTAAAGATTCTGATCTGGTTTATTTTTGATAGCTGGGTTTCTTTACATAGAAATCGCGCTATCCAGCTGTAATAACAATCAGTACTGTGCTGCCGAAATTTATTTTAGTTGCATTTAGTTTCTGTAGATTTGCGTCATCAACAAAATGTGCAAAACGCAAATGAATACCTAGTGAAAATTGCACAAATAGAATATACAGTGAATAAAGAATAATTTTATGTTAACAACTAAAATATAGCTATATTTACATTTTGCTTAATAAAGACATAAATGTACTATAATACGTTTTTTCTTCAAGTTACGTTGTCACTCCTGAAGCACTAAGATATAAATAATATCTCGTTACCAAAAAGGCATCTCTGGTTCTCTACACTCACCATACGAAACACAGCACACATTCGTGAGAGCGTGGTCCCTCTGGTACGAGCCGACCCGTTCGTTCCCGTTCGTAGAGTCGCGCTGCAACTATATTATGGTTGCACCGTGACTCTAACTCTACCACGTTAGCCTGAGAGTGATTGGAGTTGAGAGAGTTAATTCTCAGAGTGATCTGGAGCAATTAGTTTGCCGCGCTGCCAACGCGTGTTGGTGGGTTTCATATGTCCTCGATATATATATATTCCTCACACATGCTGGTATCTACGATATGTTTTCTTTCACCGCCGAGCACGTGGGAAATTAGCACTTAAAAATAATACAATTATCAATTTCATTGGTGCTTGCGGTTCGAACCTAGTTTCCCACCACGGCGTGAAAAATGTTCACAATGGTACACGATTTTAATTTTACTCTAACTTTATTTTTTATTTACTTTACTTTGTCTATATATTTGAACTTAGTCGAAGTAATTACAGCAGACATGCATGAAGATGCTATATAGAAATAGTAACTAATAATTATTGATTATAAGGAAGATCTTTTTGTGTTTTTAAACATACCACGTAATTTAACACTATAGCATATTAATTACCTTGACTTTGGTATTTAATAACTATATAACACACTGAAATTACACTGATTGCCTGGGTTTATAAGTTTGGTAGACAGCATAAGGTAAAGCATGAAAGGAAATTATTATAGTTTACATGTAGATGGGAATTTCAAAATTTTTGTTGTACATTGCGTCGCATGTTTTGTGAGCCGTGGTAGGTTGTATGGTAGATAATAGAAAAGTGGCATACGACGCAATGTAATACAAAAGTAGGTAATACTTTGGGATCACTTTCACATCATGTTAGCGGATAAACCTGCAGGGTATCGTCTGTGGATTCGATTTATATTGAGGACATTAAATTTTTTGGCGATTAAAACGTCGTGTACAATATTTGGCCAGCATGGTAGAGCCATTAGCCGTGCTGCAGTGTACTAGGGCTACAGTACAAATGAGTAGAGACTGGGAAGGACGACTCTGTGGAATAGCTTGCCATCGGCGATTTTTCCGGACCGATACGACTTAGGGATATCCAAGAAAAGAGCTTACTCCTTTGTAAAAGGCCGGCAACGCACCTGCAATTCCACTGGTGTTGCAGTTGTTCATGGGCGGCGGTAGTCACTTACCATCAAGTGAGCCATAGCTCGTTTGCCCCCTCTCCTATAAAAAAAAAGACTTACAAAATAATCTATGATATAGCAACATAAAGCGGCCGTGTTTCGTAAGAGCAGTGACGTTGGTCAACATCAATTTGATAATTTATTAAAGTTTTGAACAGAAAACTTTTGAGAGAGAGAGCGGGAGAGACAGAAAGACAGAGAAAGAGACAGAAAGACAGAAAAAGAGATAGACAGAGAGAGAGAGAGAGAGAGAGACCTATTATAATTAAAGGCTCTAACAACGCTTTTGTGCCCCTTTTTTGTATGAAGTTGGCTGCAGGTGTCCCATGATGTGCAGGAGTCACTTACTATTTGGCGCACCGTAGATCGTTTTAGAAAAAATCTCCATACCTTGCCATTACTGTGACGTTGCGCATTAGTTATGTTGTTATATCATAGAAAATGGAAATAGGCCAAGCAACCGTCCGCTGAGCACAATTTATGTGCATGTAAACTTCGTTTTATTTCAATGCTGTTGTTTATAGAATAAGCACCTATATCTATTCTCGATTAAGAATCCAAAATATAATGCGTTGAAACTCTTGAGGACTATGGGCCACAGCATCCACTTACCATAGAGTTGAACTGTGTGCTCGTTTCTCATCCCTATTTTATTTAAAAAAAAATACGATAGAATGCCTCGTTAAAAAGGGTCCCCGTTTCTCTACACTCACTATATGAAACACAGCAGCATTAACATTATGCTTCTATTTTATGCTGGTATTCTGTGAGTATGGTTCTTCCCCGTTTGAGTCGACCAGTTGTGCTGCTGCCGTAATACATTTGCAGCGTGGCCCTACTGCATTCAATTATCGTGCGCTGGAGCTTCGTTCGTTGATTAGCGTTCATTTATATGTTTCTATTATTAAAGTTAGTTATTAGTAAATGCGCATATTTTTTGTTTTTACTACGAAATCTCGGCAAGTTAATATTACTTTGAAAACAATTTTAAATTACATAAAGCAAAAGTGAATGTTTTGTTTTGTATAGAGGTGGAAATTTTTTGATGCGCGTGTCGCTTACGACCGCTTTTGTTCTTTTTTTTTCATAGTTTTGTTTTTACATGGCCATGGCATTTAAAAATAAGAGAGGTTATTGCCGGTTCTTTTTTGAGAATGTCTTGTTGTTATGCGAACAGGTGTAAATTTTGACGTTCATAGCAGCATTAATCAAATCTAAATTGAATAAAATGTTCTGACTTTTATTGTCTATCAATCCGTCTACGGTTGATAAACTGACGGTAATTATTATGAGTAATTTCTTTAAAATATTTACTATTTTTAGTTAACTGTTCATTTATATCTGTGATAATATTGATACGATATTTAAAGAATTATTATAGCCACGGTTTGCTCATAAAAAATGGTATTGATGATAAAGATTATGTTGTGTATGTTATACAAGTGCAATGGTTGATTGATTCAATCGAATTCAATTCAAGAAATGAATTCAATTGATTCAACAGAATTACTTTCATTTTCTATAATGAAACTAATTTTACGGATTTTATCACGTTACTATATTACTTACCGAAACGTCGAGAATTAAAAAGTTAAAATTAAATGCGACAAAATCCGTAACATTAGTTTCATTACATTTCCATTTTCTGCTTTGTACTTTGCTCACTTACAAAAGAAAAGAAAAGTAAAAGCCTATATACGTCCCACTGATGGGCACAGGCCTCTTTCTTTTCTGATAGGGTTATGGAGCAGTTACCCTGTCGCGTTTCGGCAGTGCGTGTTGGCGGATTAATGTTTTTTTTTCAAATCTACCACCGGTTCAAATTGAGGACTGAAGAAGAAACTGCGAAAGAAACTCCGCAGAATCACTTTTTTAATATTATTTTTAAAGATTATATTACAATAACAACCCATATAATATAATGAAATATACGTCAGACCCACGAAATATTTCTCAGACAGCCCGGATTTTTCAAGATGTTTTACTTCACCGCCGAGCAGTTCGTTTCAATAACTGCGCAGTTACTGGATGCATTATATTACATACATTATCATATGCATTATATATATATACACATATATATATATATATATATATATATATATATATATATATACATTATTATATATATATATATGTATTTAAGATTTGTATCTTGAATATCATAGTCTGTTGTACCATGTAACAATATACGTAAGCCACATAAAGTCTTGCGAAAGTAAAAAAAAATCTGCGGTTAAAGTTATCGTAATTAAATCTTTTCATAGAATTTTCCACCTGCATTTACGAAGTTTTATGCGTCTAAACTCTACACCAATTTTCTTATATGTTTTTTTATATAATATACTAGCAATCCGCCCCGGCTTCGCACGGGTGATTTCTAGATCTTGACAACCATTCAACAAAGACAAAAAATTTCATCATAATCGGTCGAACCGTTTTTGAGTTTTAGCACTTTAAAAACTCCTTGCTGCGAAAAAAGGAGTTTTTCCAAAACTTACCATTGTCCACTATTTTTAACACGAACGTTTTAACCTCGTAAAGGTGTATCAACAGATATCGGTGAATTCTATCAACGTGTACAAAACTGCCATAAAACTCCATTCAATTTATTTGCGTTTTGAGTTATCAGTTTCTACTTTATTCTGGTATTAATCTAGATAAAACTGTACATGATTACCAACTCTAAAGAATCGATATCTTTTAAGAATCGAATATTGGAGGTACCGATTGATCAGTTGGAATGCCTAGTTCAATAAGTGTGACAGCTGTCAAAAGGTATTTCTTATATTTGGTGGAGTATAATTGCACTGACTAAAAACTGAAAATTCCAACTGAAAAATATGTACCTACAATATTGGATTCTTAAGAGCTATCGATATTGATTCTTTAGAATTGGTAATCATTAATTTTCAGTTTTATCTAGAGTAATACCAGAATAAATTAGAAACAGAAACCTAACTCGAAATACAAAATTTATCAGTTTTTTTTTTAAATATTTATTGCTTACTGCTAATTTCTAGATATAAAACCACTTTTACTACAATTAGTTGAGCTGTCTTCGTCATCATCGTTGTTTACAGTAATAATTATTTGATTTTCTAAAATGCATTCAAGATGAATCTCTTTTATAGTCGTCTATAACAATTTTCTTTGTTTTCTTCACCACCTTGCCCAAGTGATCACTTGTATAATAGTTATATTTTGTAACAAATCCTCTCCGGCGGAAACTGCGGTTGCCAACCCGCTTGCCAAACGTGTCAACTATGGCAAATATCATCCCCCTATGAGGCAATCTATGGAAGCCTATGTTGAGCAGTGGACTTTTTAGACTGTAACGGTAACGGTATTGTTCTTATTAATGTTCTTTTCGAGTAAGGATAAAATTGTTGTATTCAATATTTTTTCTGCATCTGCTAAAACTTTTTAAGGTTTTCAAAGCTGCGCCATTATACATACATTTTCTAACAAAGCTACAGCTAGTTATTACGCTAGGCAGGCGGGTTGATGAACGCGAGTCAAGACCATCGCATGGGTAACGCACTGAGTCTATGAAACTGGGGTACAGCAACTTTGGATTGATTTTCGGTCATCAGTCGGCTTTTAGAACGTGGGGCAGTTATAACGTCGTCCCTTTGCAAACAAGGGTTGGCATTTTGTCCCTAACACTTTGGATTTATGGGAATAAATCTCTTGCCCAATCAATTATATGTAAATGTAAATCTAAATAAAAATAAACCAAAAGACAAAACAATGACTTCTCGACTTGAACTTTGGCACTTCGTTGTGCAATTTTAAATAATTAAAATGACGTAATCAGATATTTCCCAGACGTTCAAATTACTTCTAATTATAATTTGACTTTATATTTCCGTAAGTTTTGCAGTCACTTTAAAGACCTCAGCTTGAAACAATGATAGACAAATCTTATTTATTGCTTCCGATGGAAAACGTAATAACCATCAATTTTATACCAGACGTAATTTGCTGAGACCTGCGACGGGCAGCACCGCCAAAGGTGTGAGACGTCTTTTTAATAGAATAAAGGTGACCCTTATTCTATAAAAAAGACGTCGCACACCTTTGGCGAAACACAGTCACGAACGTAAGTGTATGCTGTGGCCCATAGACGTCTACATTTATTTTCGATTAAGAATCAAAATGCAGATGCGTTATCACCTCTGAGGACTAAGATGGAATGCCTTGTTTCCAGTAAAAAGGGTCTCCGGTTCTCTACACTCACCATACGAAACACAGCAGGATTAAGCTGCTATTTTACGCTGGTATTCTGTGAGAGCGTGGCACATCTCCGGTCGACCCGACCCATTCCTGGTACAACCATAATATAGCTTAAGGCAAATTCTCTCTATAACGGAAGAGGCCCATGTCCAGCAGTAGAGTATAATGGTCTAATGAAGAAGACGAAGCAGCTAGTATACGAGGTTATTGTTTTCAGGCAGAACGTGCACGCACACGCTGCTATTCGCGCAGCTCATCACGCCGGACGGCACGAACCATGGTCTACACGGCTTCGTCGTTCCCATCCGCGACCCCGACACTCTCGAGACCTACCCTGGCCTGGTGGTTGGTGATATGGGCGAGAAGATCGGCGTCAACGGGATCGATAATGGGTAAGTTGATAGTATTGATCAAACTATGATGTTCAAAATTAAACTAAAATATACAAGTATGTTTTTCATTCAATCTTTGGGTAATCCCTTTGGAAATTTTTTCGTTTTAGTTAAAGTTTGATCAATCTTTGTGAGATTTTGTCAGTATACCGTCTGTCTATCTTCCTGTCTTTTTTATGTTAATTGGGGTGATCGAGGTGTGTTTTTGGACTGTTCAATATTTTTATTAATTTTATTCTTTCTACATAAATGAGGTGCCACTGCCTTATGATATTTGGTTCTAGTAGCTTCAATTTCCTCTTTATTAGATAACTTTTTAGTGTTCTCTTTCTACGTCGAATTTACCAAAACATAGTCAGTGACAGTGGTTTTTCTCTGACGTTTTCATGCGTTAATGATTTATTTTCACATTGTTGAAGCTGCAGTGACTCAAACATAACAGCGAAGTTAGAAATTCGATATTTCTACGTAAGAGTCCCGCACCTGCGCCTTACTGGTGCCGCACTACAAGTAGCAAAATTCGTGGTGCGGCGGCGCTGCGGCTACAGGAGGGAGCAGACACCCCTCTCACCGCAGCCCACCAACACACATCCGAAATGGGCTCGTCAAGCCCACTCGGAGTGGCCACCTCGGGCCGGCCCTACGCCTTGGGCCAGCCAAGGGGTTCCTCTTTGTTCACCGCGGTTGACCAAGCCACGGCTACTAAGCCCCCCCCCCCCCGCCACGACAAGGCGGGAACTCGTTCGGGGGGGACTGTGACGAACCTAACCTAACCACCCTAAGTTTACCCACTAAACACCACCTGTGAGACTGGCATTGGCTTATGAGGCCTTTCTGCCGAATCGGAAGCGACCCTCTTTTGGGAAAAGGCTGCGCAGGCGGCGACGAGCCGCTGAGGGCGAGCCTACTAAGGCAAATTTAAGAAGAGTCGGCCTGAGCCGCCAGGAGGCGGTTCAGGTTGGTTGAAAGCTTGTTTGGCGGGTCCGAGAGAGAGTTTCTCGGCCTACGGACTCGATAGCGAGAGGGGAGTGGGGCTGCATAAGTAGCTGCCTCATTAGTCTGAGGGGTTAGTTGTTAAGAGATAAAAAAAGGAAAAAAATATATTGTCTTGCTGCCATTCACGTCATTCCCGCGAGTTATCATCATACATTAAAATTATAGATATTATAATAATTTTTATATCTGTCTATGTTTAATAACATTAAAGATTACGCTTCTTGTTTCAAATTGATTACAGTCGAAACCGGATTTACAGTCTGCTCACATTTGGTTATTTACGCAATAAGCACCCATCCTAAAATGTCTATTTATATCTTATTGACGTAAAAGTTTTGGTCTCTTAGGCCGGTGACATTGATTTATAACTAACCTACCTGAGGAATGGAACTTGGTTTATAAGATCATTGAAACAAATTAACAAATAAGTACCAACTGAGTATGGTTCCGATCATGGAAGCCTCTATTCTAGATTCTAGACCACTTAAGTGGTGTTTACAGGTTGTTTCTGGGGTGGTCAACAATCCCATATCTTATATATTTCAAAATCAATTTCTGTCTCGCTAAAACTCGAAAACGGCTCGAACGATTTTGATGAATTTTTTTGTGTGCATTTAAGTGGGGTGGTTTGCATTCAAACTTGAAACCGGTAGGTGGCGCTGCTATCCAGATCCACAAATCACTCGTGCAGAGCTGGGGCGGATCGCTAGTACTAAATAAATAACAGTATTACAGTGAAGCAGTATACAATGCCTAGCGTTGATCTAATTGTAGTTTTGTTAATGTCGACTGCTACTTTTGCTGGATCCGATTTTATTTTTTAAAGTTATTAATTATTTATTGGCATATATCATGTCATTACGTCGCGTTTACGTTGGTACTTATTATGTTTTAAAGAAATCGTAGAAACATATAGATAAAAGTCTTATATATCTATGGAATTACCATCTTATTTAATAAGTAGGGTCATACAACCATTCGTTTATTATTTGACAGTGATAAATACAGGCCCGTTGAAGCCCGATTGTTCTTAACTAAACTTAAAAATTAAATCCAAAATCGTCAAGTGCTCGGAACGTATTATGTTCCATTCCTCTTTATGTTATTTTTAGTAAAAAAACTTTAACAGTTGACCTTAGTCGGACCTTTTGTTGACGAAACGCAACGATCAAGTTGTGAAGGTTGCCAGACCGACAGTGTGAATACAGTAAAAAAAACTTGGATATTCAATGGATTAGCTGACACGTTTATTTATTAGTACCAAAATTATAAAAATAAATTAATATACCTTTAACTGTTAACTTTGGCCCTTGTCAGTTAACGATTACACCAAAGGTCACTCAAGACTCAAGGTCTCTCAAACATCACGCGATAACTGCGATAACGTCCACACATACTTTTAAATCTAACGTAACGTACGTACTTGGATGACTAAGTGTGATTACTAGCAGATAATAAATGTAAAGGCTGCACTAGCCAGTTGTTTTTCCTTAGAAGGTTGATTATCTCACCATTTGATGCCGTAGGTCCAAAATTAAGCTTGTTATCGATTAATATCTCGTAGTTGAATTAGCCGGCTGCAACTAGGTGCAGATAATTTCTTTTGTTTGGTTAAAAATAGGCTGAACCTAGGTTTAAGCAGCTACAATTATGTGCAGCCGACTGCTTTTGGTTAAACTTAGGTGTATGATCCCAGGGCCAGACGTCTCACACATTTGATACTGTTGGCTGTCTCCGGTCTGGCGTTCTGGCGGTCTGGGTATTTTTCATCTGGTGTAAACGACATATACCGCCATTTATCAGAAAACAAAAGGTTATTCTGTCACTTCCTGTAGGCATTTTATTACGACACCCACGTGACGCAATGGAGTGATGTTTTCTCTTACGGCGGCTCTTCACGTTGGCCAACACACTGGCGAATGTGTTGGCCCACAACGATGGCCATCGTGTAGAGCGGGTGTTTAAGCTACGTTGGTATGTATTGGAACGATGGCCCACAATTTGGCGCGAGATCCGTCTGGTGTCGGTTTTTTGCAAAAGATCAAAGGGTTGTGGCAGAGTATTGGCCGTCGCGTCCACACGTTGGGCGCACGTTCAGTTTGCTACGAGCTCCCAGAGTGATTGCACGCACCTGATTTAAATTTTATATGCACGCATCGTAACTAGTGTCTACATAACGGCAGTAATAATGACCAATGAAAAAACTTTTCGCTTTATAGAGCCCTACCAAGCCGAAAATTGTTTGTAAAACACAAGTCTTTTTAAAAAAATGTTATTATACACTAGGATTTTCTCCAGTATCGTGGAGGCAGTTTAGAAACATAAATTGCATAAGGACAAACATCCAGACCCGGAGAAATTATGTGCAGGCTATACAAATACTTGTTCCGTGCGGGATTCGAACCCGCGGCCCCCAGGGGCAGTAACTCATTGCTAAGCCACTACGCCGCGGAGCCGTCAAGAAATAAAATTTCTTTTTTCCATTTCTTTTTGATCACCCTTTTCTTATACACATTCACGTTGTAGTGATTAATTGTGTATTAATTTATTTATTGATGTATTAATTGATTTATTAAATATCTTAAAATCTATAATATATATTAAAATCAAATTAAAAGTAGGATACTAAAATCATGTTTTTACTGTCTTTATTATTCCCTGTTAGTTACTTTATTTCGTTAATAATACTGTAATTTTTAGCTACGGAAGAGCGAAGTCACCTGTTACAGGCATTATTTTGCTTACTAGGTGACCTGGATCACTGATCATATAATGTAACTTTAATGTTTGACGAAATAAATTATTTATTATCATTATTATTATTATTAAGTTTTATTCTATAATTATATAATAAGAATAACCCTTTTTAAATAGGTTTTGTTTAATAAAATTTTACAACAGTTTCATAGACAGGCTTCGAATATTTTCTAGGCTTTAGTTGTAAAAGTGTTAATTATATCTATGCCTAGGTGTGTTAATGTTTATATAGTTCACTTATCTGTATAACATTAGTGTATAATAAAGAAATATTAAAAATTTATATTAAAAATATTAAATATAAAAAATAGTGAAAATTAAATAAAAAAATAGTGGTATGCTGTGAATAAATAAACCGCAGTAGCCGTTAGCGCATCAATAATCATTTTAATAAATTCGTCCGCACATTGGCCTGAACCGAAGCAAACTGAACAACCTTCCAACGTGTGGACGCGATCACAATTTCTTGGCCAATAACTCTGCCAACACATTCGCCACTGTGTTGGCCAACGTGAAGAGGCGCCATAACGCCTCTAACACGTTTCTAATGAAATTTTTAGTGTTGAAATTTAATATATATATATATATATGTATATATAATGTACCCCCGGAAGTGAGATGTATATTGGGGCCTCCTGTGACCGTTAGTGAGCGACGCGAAACGTGTGAAAGTGACCAAAAAAGTAATACCATTGAGAAAATAATTTACACGTGGAAAATTTCTTAATAAAGCTGTGAACAATTTAGTTGTAATAAAACTTTTGTGTGTAGTCGTGTACAGACGGCGTAAGAGAATCCACCACTACATATCCATTCCGTGGGTGTCGTAAGATAAAGGAAAATGAGATAGGAGATGGGCAGCAGCAGCTTCCTGATAAAACTCAAAATAATAATAAAAACTGCGGTTGAAAACCCTCCTGTCATTCGTGGCAACTATGGCAAAAATCCCTCTTATGAGGCAATCGTTTTATAGGCTTACAGCCAAAAGAAATATCATGAAATTTAAAATATCACATTTAAAAGGTAAGGTGTATGATTCAACTTTTACTTCTGTTGAGAATTGAATCCAAGATTCGATATTCGATATTATGCCGCATTAAAAAATATTCAATCTTGTTTCAGTTTCATAATGTTCAACCATTACCGGATACCTCGTGAGAATCTGCTCAACAGAACAGCTGATGTCACTGAGGATGGACAATACGTGAGCTCGTTCTCGGAGCCTTCCAGGATTTTGGGGGCTGCATTGGAAAATTTGTCAGCTGGTGAGTAATTAAACATATGCAAAAGATAACTTGCGTCAGCTCGGATCAAATTACTATAAGATGGGTGTGTGTGCACTTCTATTTATAAACTTGCTATCAACGCCCTATGTAATTTTTTAGAATAGAATGATTTTTATTCAATATAGATTACAATACATAATATTTATTGAAAGTAATTTTTTACTTTTACCACTGGTTCGCAAAAAAACTTCTGTACTGGGAAGAACCAGCAAGAAACCCAGCGGGACTTTTTTTTAAAAAGCACAATTTACAATATCAATTTTATACGATTGTTATGAGAACATTTAGAAACAGCATGGTAGCGATCACCTCATTCCCAGGGGTTACCTATTATCAGTCATGTACTCTTTAGTAGTATAATAACCCTTACTAGACAATTTTTATATTTTTAATTATTATTCTTTAAAAATAATTTAAGCCTTTTTGATAGAACAGGTCTGCATATTTTCTGGGACTTTGATGTAAAAGCGTATACATTGTCCCACAAAGAATTACTGATTCTTTGGAGTCGAGTAACCGGTATAACTGACTTGCGCTTGTTCCTAGTATTTACAGAATGTACATCACTATTTTTAATAAAACTATTTTTGTTTTTGTGTACATACATTAATTTCTCGTAAATATATTGAGAGGCCAAAGTTATAAATTGCTATTATGGCTCTCTTTTGCAAAACAAAGATAATTTCAATGTCAGTCGCATTACGTATGGCAAGATTCCATATGACATCATATTAGGGAAATAACTAAAATAAACTAATCTAGCTGTTTCGACATATGTAAGGCATCTGATATTTTTTACAACATATGCTGCAGAACTAAATATGTTAGCTAATTTAGATATATGAGGGCCCCATTGAAGTTCCGCGTCAACTGTAATTCCGAGAAAAACAGTGGATTCAACAAGGCCCTGTCCTTCTCCATTTAAAATTTGTTTTTAAATAGATCGATAATGCTGATCTCTTGTCTACTTAAATTAAAGTTTAAGTTAATGTAATGTCTAATGTCTTTTTGTAATATTGCTTATGTACTAAGTCCTCCTTCACATCTCTCCAGTTTGTAATTTAATGTATAAATTATTATCTGAGGCTGGTGGTGTTGGCTTCACTAAATTTAAATTTTAAGATTAAGATTAGTTATTAATCCTCTGTTGAAGTTGTTTACTGGTCCTTAAATAAAAAAAAGCACATCGGTATTCACCTGATTGGTGGCGGTACCCTCAAATCCTGCCTATAGGGAGAAAGGCTCATGCCCAGTAGTATACTTTTAGGGGTCGATAAAGATAATGGTGAATTTCAAGACAAATTCCATATCAAGCATTCAAAACACAATTGTTTAAGTATATTTGCACGACCTAGCCAACGATTATTCCTTTAAAATGTCACATAATATAATTTGTATTCAGGGGCTAAACAAAACAAGAGCCTGGAAAAGTAAGATATTTATGGGCAGTCTACAATGTTCCTGTGTAGCTATCAGTTAAGATTGTTGTGTTCCGTCTCAAATTTTCACCTTTTATAATTTTACCAGGAAGCTCAGGGGTACTTTAATTTTTAATTGTAAAATCTTTTTCATACCATGTTTTATGCAAATAAATACTTCCTCATTCGTAGGCCGCATCGGTATAATGCAGGAGAGCTGCCACTCGATTGCCAGCGCGGTGAGCATCGCGGTGCGGTACGCGGCCACACGTACTCAGTTTGGTGAACGCGACAACGAGATACCGCTGCTAGAGTATGACCTTCACGTAAGTGTTCCGAAAGCATATTTTTTTAAGTTAATTCATCTGACTGTACGTGCGAATTTAGATTATGAGATTTGCGAAATTGTGACACAAACATTTATGAAATGACAATGAGCAAATTAATTTAAGTGCTGAAATTACTGGTGTTAAGAAAATACAATATGTAATCTCAAACTAGTATAAAGATGCGAATTGCGCCAAATAAGCAGCGTTTTTAATAATAATTACATCACATCGCTTAGCAGTATCTTAGTGGACTTGGACTTGAACGTTTTCCAAATAGACCTAATATTTATACAAATGCCACGCCACGCCAACTCACGGAACGTCCTTTATTAATAAATCCTTTACAGTCCATGCTATTAAACTATGGAATGTCCTGCCTTTAGATTCCGTGAGGCGCGATCCATTGATATCTTTAAAAAATTAGTAAACGCGCATTGTATCTTAATCTCTCGGGCTGCTCGGACACCGTTAGGACAAATTATATTTATATATTTTTCGCTTTATATTTTGTTTGAGGGATTTAGTAATTTGTTTATTTCTGTATTATGTATACAGGGTTATTTGGAATATACGACTAAATTTGCAGAGTAGGTTCAGAATAAGTAATATAAACGAATGGTGAAGAAAAAATAATTAAAAAAATCTCAAACATTCTGTTCTTTTGATCTTTTAAATTCAGAATGCGTGGTAATGCATTATTTTAACTGATTGTCATTCATAAATATCTAACGCCTACTATTTTACTACGACGCACAGATTCATAAGGGTCGCTCTGTTACAAAATTTAGGTATCTTGCCGTGCGTTTCCCCGTGCCCTTCCTTTCCGTTAACCGTTATACCGCTAGGTATCTACGTCCGTCGTACCGGCCGGTAGCTGACAGTGTTTACCGTGACCTCATTACGTACAGGTATGCTACTGCTATTTTTAAATTTTCGTAAGAAGTAGTGTGGAATACGAAAATGAGTCGTTACCGCGGCAAGAAATTAACGTACGTGTACCAATTGGCACCTAATCAAATTATTCAAGTGCAGTAAGCGATAATTTAAATAATGAATATGAAGATAAATGGATTGCGCAAGGAGACCTTATACTATGGCCTTCAAACTCGCCGGAACTATCACCGTTAGACTTTTATCTGTGGGATGAAATAAAGGGTGGTGGTTACGTCAAAGAGGTCTAAAGTTACGAAGACCGCCGCAGTAAAATTATTGCTGCGTTCATGGAAGTTAAAAGTGTTCAAGCACACGTAATAAATGTAATAAATAATTTATGAAGACGTGCTCGTCTATGCATAGAGAGAAACGAATTCCATTTTGAGGTATATTGGTTATTAGGACTACTTACGTAATTTAGTTGTAAATAGTTTATTCCAATTTTTTAAATATGCCATAATAATGACAGTCGTCGGTTACGTCGTAATAATAATAATAAGCAAAAGTATTTTCTTTTTAATTTTATTTATTATGACGATCTTAAGCTCGGTAAAAGTGTGAAAGGAAATTTGGAATCATAATTCACGCCGTGTAGTTATTGACTTAAGAATTAGTAGTCAGCGTTTAACTAAGAAAGTAAACAATAGGCAAAATCTGGAGAAACGAAAACGTGAAGTGAATCGCATACACAGAAGAGCGCTTACGCGTAGTTGTTGTCCATAAATCACATTCAATTTGGGATAATTTCACTTAAAAGTAGAACACTTATTTACTCGTATTTTCAAAAAGTGTAATATCAGTACCTATATGATTTTTATATATTCAAACTTAAATATAAAATTTGGTTACTCTTTGAAAAATAACCCTGTATGTATATATTTTCATGCACGGTATTCCTTGATTCCAGGTTCCTTGAGTCATATTCATTAATTCAAAGACAAATTGTTTTGTCGTTGTCGTTGTCGTTTGTTCCGAAATTTATCACCACCACCATATTCTTACACGTTAAATCACCTACGGTTTGTCATCATCAGTTTTTGTAAAGTTCTTTCTATATATCTACATCTAAAAAACGCTTATCTTTTTTCTTTACGAGTCGCTTTAGAGTGCATAAAGTGCATGAAAAACCCTATTCAAAACAAAATGCTAGTTCAACAACTTACGGACCGCTCAACTTGTTTCAATTAAAAATAATTTGTAAAATAACTGTGAACGAAACGTTTCTTGGAATTGGGCTATCATACAAAGTCCTATCCAAAAATAACTAAACAGATAAATTCATTTGTGTTTACCATACTTGTATTGTTACAGCAATGGCGCTTGTTCGGATATGTTGCGGCTGCGGTTGTGTTCCGAATTTATATTGAGAACTTCGCAAATGTGTACCTGAATATTGTAGAGAAATCGAATATGGGTCTTAAAGTGGATAATTTGGTAAGTAATTACTTCATGCTCTAAATAACCTGTCATGATAGGTAATTTTCTAAATTGCACGTAACGAGATTTCATACATAAGACGTTGGAATTACTTCTCGGTTACTCGGAGGATGTGTGAGATTTTTTATTAGTAAATAACATGTTAATTCCAACACAACAAAATAAAAAAGATTTACATATTTAACCATGTAACTACCTAATATCGCAAGACTTTGTACTCAACTTCAAAAAACAAATGCACTGTAATATTAATTAACAGTTTAGTAGATTCATAACAATTGAAATATTTTTATGAACTATAGTCGATAAACCATCTAGTAGGAAGGTGCCCAATATTGCATTTACCAGTTGAGGTTTATTACTCGAAAACTATGCAGTAGTCTATTATTATTTGGTGTCAGTTGTTGATGTTAATTCCCGGATTTATCATATACATATAAAAATGTAGCCAATCGTGGCAACTATGGCAAATACCCCTTCTATAAGGCAATCTATGAGGGACACCTATGTTCAGTAATAGACTTATTCATCATCATTACAGCCCTTCACAAGTCCACTGCTGAACATAGGCCTTCCCCAAAGAATGCCACAAAGCACGGTCCTGAGCCACCTGCATCCATCGACTTCCTGCATATCTTACCAGGTCGTCACTCCATCTAGTGGGGGGACGCCCTACACTTCGCCTGCCGGTACGAGGCTGCCACTCGAGAACCTTTCTTCCCCATCGGTTGCCGTGTAGTGGCGGTTAAGAATATCCACTACCCCATATCTTCCCGTGGGTGTCGTAAAAGGCGACAAAGGGAAACAGGCAGGAGATGGGCAGCAGCATCTTCCTGATAATAGCCAAAATAACAATAAAAAACTGCGGTTGCCAACCCGCTCGCCAAGCGTGGCAACTATGGCAATATACCCCCCATGAGCAATAGACTTATTATTGACTTGAAATAGCAGCTTAGTGCTGCTGTGTTTTGTATGGTTATTGTAGAGAACCTTTTATACTGGATAATAGTGATCCATAGACTTCAATGTATATGGATCACTGCGTCCATTTACCATAAGTTGGACTATTGCAATGAATAAATGATAAAAATTAATATTTGTTTGTTTGTTTGCTTTTATACGTTCTCATACCATTCATCCGATTACGATGATCTTTGGTGGGTTATTATGCGCGCTCTCTTGCAGGTTTCTTATGAACAAAAGCTATTAGAAACTGCAAGATCTCAAAGCGTGCCGGGCACAGCTCACTAGCTGTATCATTATACTGTATTGCGTGTGTTTCAGAGCGAAGCGGTGTCGGAGATCCACGCGATGGTGTCGTGCAGCAAGCCGCTGCTCACGTGGACGGTGCTGCAGGCCGCGCAGCAGTGCCGCGAGGCGTGCGGCGGACACGGCTTCCTCAAGGTCACAAGCATACTATCACAACAAACTAAATAACGTAATGTGTTTAAGAGTGCGTCACGCTTACAGCATACAGTGAAAAAACTAATTAAAATAACGCAATGTGTTTAATCGCGGTTAGGTAGTATTAAAAAATTAACTATATTAGTTTAAGAAATTAGAAAACAAAAGCTACATACCGATATTTTTGAAAAATGTAGCTGTGAGTCAAGCCTGTCGTTTTGCAAAAAAAAAAAGAGTTGCGAAAAAACCTTATGTACCATATCTAAAGAAGTACAGTGTACAGGGTTTTTCGGAAATTTACTTCAGGTACCAGGCAACGACTACGATTCCTTCAGCGCCACGATTCGAAGGCAAATGCGCATAGATCTCGATGAGATACACCAAAAAATAAGAATAAAAATTTTCGATATCTCTTTTAGTTTCCGAGATATCGATACAAATTTTTTTTTTACTTTTTTCGGTATATTTTGGAAGGTCAAAAAATAGACATCCGGCACTTGCGTACGGTGGTGGGGGAAAGGGTGGGTTCAGGCGAAGCCCACTGAACCCACTTGCGGAAAAGTATAGTTTATGAGTATTTTTTTTATAGGAAAGGGGGCAAACGAGCATGCGGCTCACCTGATGGTAAGTGACTACCGCTGCCCATTAACAACTGCAACACCAGAGGAACCAGGGGAGTTGCAGATGCGTTACCGGCCTTTTAAAAAGGAGTAGGCTCCTTTCTTGAAGGTCTTAAGTCACATCAAAGTAATGTTTTTTTGTAAAATCATAACTCCACTTTTTTACACGGGAATTTTGGCCTAAAGTTATTTATTCAGCGGCTTCGGCGCTGAAGATTATTATTATTACTACCCCTTTCACTATTGTTGGTAATATTTAAATTTTCTTTATATTTTCCAGTGCGCAAACCTAGGCGACATCCGCAACAATCACGAGCCGACTGTCACGTACGAGGGCGACAACAACGTGCTATCGCAACAGGCCGGCAATTGGCTTCTGAGACAGTATGAAGCGGCGCTCTCGGGAAATAACGTGGACTCTCCCCTCCTCACCGTCACTTTCCTCAAAGAACACAAATCCATTGCCAAACTCACATTCCAGTGTAAGAACACGACACAGTTGAAGACCACACAATGTAAGTTATTTTATGGTCTAATAGGGTATTTATTTGATAGAGTCCTGATGGCTCAGGGAATAATTAAGTAAATTTCACAGCACGCGAGCAATCCGGGTTCAATACCCGCGGGCACTAATGAAATGTTTAATTGCAATTTAAGTGTTGAATTACTACGCATTCGGCGGTGAAGGAAAACATCGTCAGGAAACCGGCATTTCTGAAAAAAAAAAATACAAAGATACATATGTGAAGTCCGCCAGTACGCATCGGTGCAGCGCGTCGGACAATTCCTTGCCGTAAAGATAAATGAGAGGAGGCATATGCCCGTAGTGACACATAATATACAGGGTTATTTTTCAAAGAATAGCCAAATCTTAAACTTAAGGTCAAATATATAAATAATGATATACCGTTATTGCAGTTTTTGAAAATACGACTAAATAAGGCTCTTAATTTTATTTGAAATTATCCAAAATTGAATATGATTTATGGGCAACCACTACGCGCGCTCCCTTGTGTGCGATTCAATTCACACAGTTTTTGCCGACAGACGTAAAATTAGATATTAATAAATATCTAAAGCCTACTATTTTACTACGCATCATACATAAATGACAATCAATTAAAATAATTCATTACCACGCATTTTGAATTTAAAAGATAAAAGTACAGAATGCTTGAGATTTTTTAAATTAATTTTTCTTCACAATTTGTCTTTATTACTTACTAGCTTTTACCGGCGACTTCGTCCGCGTAGATATTATACTTTAAACCATAGGTGATCCATCAATAATCGCAGTTAGTAAATTCCATCACCCTCTAGGGATGATTTTCATGATTAATAAATCCTATTTCCTGCCCCGGGACTTGAACTATCTACCATATTATTATACATTGTCATCGGAGTTCCATTACTATGCCAAAGAACAATGGCAGACTTCCATACATAAAAATAGTTGAGAAGGAATGGTAGCGTCTATACAGGGTATTTTTGGAACGCTCCCGAAAACTAAGACAGGCGACAACACCAAGTACACCTTTGATCATGGGTCACAAATAAATTCGATCCTGATGAAAAAAAAATCAACTTTTTACACCGTTTTATTAGCTTTATTCACGCGCCATCATGTTAGTACAGCTAAATGAAACGATAATTTCATAAAATATATCATGAAAATACTGAAACATAAAACCAGCAGTGGAATGACTGAATTTATATCACCTGACTGAAAGGTCAATGTACGCGCGAACGCAAATTCGCGCGGCCCGCAACTAGCGGGCCAAACCACAATATCTAATAATTTACAACACTTGTCTAAATACCTTACTTATCTACTTAACCTACTATTTTGCCACTGTGCTTGTCTCCACTTAGCCACTTTAATCCGAATTTACAGGTTAAATAACCCAAATAACTGGTTCGATTCCCCGCTAATGAAAAAATACTTAAATGAAATGTAACCAAAGTTGGAGTCATGAGTTTTTATTCATCGTGTATGTTTATTATTCTCATGTATTCAGTTATGTACCTATTCAGATTAGTCTAGTACTAAGTTATTTAAAAAAAAAATAGGTATGAAACAGCTTACCGCTCTAAATCCTCCGTGGTCTTATGAGATGCGGCTCAAATTGTGCTCCATTCATTTCAAGGTAGATTTGGGTGCAGGCGGGGCATCATCGTGTGGTCTTCGACACAGTCCGTACGTAGTTTCTCGAAACCATCCACGATCCTTTGGCGCATTTCTTCAGCACTATCACATTCACGATTAAAAACCCTTTCTTTTACATACCCCACAAAAAGAAGTCTAACGGAGTCAGATCTGGTGAGCGAGGTGGCCAAGCGTGTGGTCCTAGTCTGCCGATCCAGCGATCATCAAATAACTCATTGAGGCGCTCACGGACGAACCTCACGAAATGTGGAGGGGCACCATCATGTTGGAACCATGTGCGGCGATATTCAGCCAACGATAGGTCGTTTAAAATGTCAACCAACTGTTCATTTATAAAGTTTAGGTATCGCTGTCCGTTCAGTCGCTCTGTCAGAAACACTGGTCCCAGTATGCGATCCTTAAATAAACCTGCCCATACGTTAACCGACCATCGGGTTTGGTGCCCGGTTTGTCGAACAGCGTGCGGGTTAACCTCTGAATACACGTGTGTATTTCTTCGGTTCCACAGGCCGTTTCTGGTAAATGTCGACTCATCCGTCCAGATAATGTGCTCAATGGAACCAGGCACACGTTGTTGCTGGTATAATAACCAACGGCAGAAAACTCGTCGGCGGTCGTGATCGCCGGGAACTAAAGCTTGCACTTTGTGCAATTTGTATGGGCGCATTGGTTACGCTTCAACACTTTGTGCACTGTACAGTATGACACACTTGTACGATCCCGACGTCTTAACAATTTATTTAGCGATACTTCGTGTACCTAGGTTCGGATACCTAACATGTTGACCACTATAAACGTACGCGTTAGGCATTATTAAAACAAAAAAGAATCCAAAAACGTAACAAAAACTTTAATATCAACACGTAATCACAAGTAAATTTATTAAACAAAACGATTGAACTGTCGCTCGCGCACGCGTGTACAAAATCAACACGGAACTGTTTCAAAAACTACAATTAATAACGAACCCCGACGAATAAACGGAAACCTACTGCGTCACAGCGTGACGACACGAGCCGGCCGGGTTACATTCTGCGAGGCGACATGAGCCGGCCGGGTTACATTCTGCCGTCATACGAAATAAAGAAGTACGCAACTAACAAAAACGTAAAATGGAAATAAAAAATAAATTTATGAATTTTTCTTTCAGACCCCGTGTCTAAAGTATATTAAAAGGTATCTATATGAAAATTGAAATATGTACGTAGAGACATGAAGATTTTAAGGACGAACTTATTTTTTGATAATTTGTTTATTTATTTAAATAAAACGAATTTTCCTTTTCATCTTAGATTAAAAAATACACCTGGCAACACAAAAACATCGAAGGAAAGACGCATATAACTATTTGCGTCTTCCCAACCTAATAAATAAAAAAAACTGCCATTCATTTAACATTTTTACATATTTTGGAAAGGTCATTTGAAGTTGAAAGGACGCTAATAGTAATTTACTACTTTTTTCTTAGTAAATATTAGAAAAGCATTGGTAGTCAGACACAAAAAATAACAACCCGCAACTCTTGAGTAATGATTTTAAAGGGGATATCATACAAGACTTACTACGATAATAATTAAAAATTTTGTACAACCGACTTTAATATAAATAATTAAGGATGACTCAAAAACTATTGGTCTGACCTCGATCAAATTTATATGGGACCACATGTGAAACACCAGCTCTTAGTAATAAGATATAAGCTCTTAATAATAAGATATAGAATAAAAAGACAAGAATAATTGAAATTTAAGTAATCGATGCAAATATTGTTAAAGATGACGTAGCCACTGGTTAAATAAGTCTTTTCTTTTATGTTGAAGTCTTTTCTAATAAAAAGATGTCATCTGTGATCAACAGTTACGTCTAAAATCCTTACGATAATTTCTAAAATATTGATATTTGTGAATATTAAAAAAATTTAGTAGATGCGCCTTCTTATCATGAGTCATGGTATATTTAACTCATTTATTCAAAAATTGTTAGATGCGCCCTTTTTTCTTCCGACCGCATACCATTGTTTCGTACCGAGCTAGATACAGGTCGACAGCGGAGGAAGTGTGGGTACAGTCGCGTTCTAAAGTACTACATGGTATTGGGCTATTGTTTTATAATATTATAGTAATTAATTGTTTAATTGTGGAATCATAATAGGTGTTTTACTATTTACTTAGAACTTTGGAAGAGGTGGGAATTAAAAATGGATAATGTTTACTTGAGCATTATTTGTTATTTCTATCGTAAAATATAAAGTAGTTTGTAACAAAAAAAACTTAAGGGTGACACGCCGTCCATTATGACGTCTTGGGTCACATGAAAGTCAGATGTTGATGGTGTGTTGGTATTACTGGATGCTACTTCATCATCACTTTCATCTTCGCTTGAGCTTCCGTCATCAGGTCGATCACATGGTAATTTTTTCGGTATTCTCCCTCAACACTTTACTGCACAATTTTCCCCATTCACCTTCTCATATCATATTTACCTTTTCGTTCACTAGTTTAGTCATAAAACAATAGATATAAATAATTTTTGTTTCCTTCCTTTTTAAAACATCGTCGCGAGTCGCAAAGTAAGCTGTGTATGCGACTGTATTTTTGGAGCGAACAAAGCGCGTGAACCAATAGCATGCAGGCACAGTAATACTGGCGGATTGATCCCCCGTCGCACCCCCCTCGTACCTATATGTGATAAATCGCTCAATGCCCAAGTTCAAGGCCAGCGTTCTTTTTTCACCGTTCGCGCGTACATTAACCTCCATTAGTCAGGTGATATCAATTCAGTTTCCACTGCTGGTTTTATGTTTCAGTATTTTCATGATTTTTTTTATGAAATTATCGATTCATTTAGCTGTACTAACATGATGGCGCGTGAATAAAGCTAATAAAACGTTGTAAAAATATGATTTTTTTTTCATCAGGATCAAATTTATTTGTGACCCATGATCAAAGGTATACTTGGTGCTGTCGCCTGTCTTAGTTTTCGGGAGCGTTCCAAAAATACCCTGTATATCAAAAATATCTTAAAATGTTAAGCATCAGTCCCTTAATAACTCTGTCAAAGAATTTTGTCCTGAGAAGGTGTTAAAAAAAATATAGATTTGAACCTGTTTAGGTTATCTCTTATGTCACTTGGAAAAAGTCATGCTTCCTGTGGTTGTTTGATGTTAGCTTAATACATAATACATAATTGACAGTTTTTAGATTATTGTATCTCTATTATATATTTGCATACTATAAATGTATAATTCTGGCATGGCTCCAGGGCCTTTGTGTCATAGTGACATTCTCAGAAGGGCTAGAACCCAGAGCTGTAAAGCCAGTAAAAAACCGTGACATTTTGTTTTAGCTAGTGTTGTCATAACATTAAATGGAATTGTTACATAGTACTATGATTGAGATAATGTATTATTGTAGGAAGTGCTTTGTTTATTATTTTTATTGAATTATTCTCAACCATATCACTTTTACATAAACACTCACGCCTGTCACCCAGAGGGGTAGGCAGAGATTATGGACTTCCATTTGGCACGATCCTGACACACCTCTCTCGCTTCCTCCACATCCATATACCTACGCATACACGCTCGTCGGTTAAAGGTACTCTTGATATGGCCCATTTTTAATATATCGCCAATTTGGTCGATAAACTTTCGCCTAGAGCGACCCTTCCCGACTGTGCCGTTCACCTCTGCAACATAAATTTGCTTTGTCACTCTTTCCTCATTCATTCTTTCTACATGGCCAAACCACCGAAGCATTCCTTTCTTAATCCTGGTCACAACATCATCTTGCAAACCACACTCTTCTCTTATTAAATAATTTCTCACTCTGTCATTCAGCTTCATCCCTAACATACTCCTTAATGACCGCATTTCTACAGCATTTATTCTACTCTCATGCTTCTTCTGCCACACCCAACTTTCACTACCATACATTAAAGTAGGTACTAACACAGCATTGTGAATTGCCATACGTGCCTTTTTGGACACATTCTGACTTTTCACAATAGAGTGTAGAGTCCCATTCACTCTATTTCCTGCATTCACTCGTCGTTCTATATCCTTATCATATCTACCATCCCTGCTAAACACACATCCCAAATATACAAACTCATCTACTTGCTCTACCAACTCCCCTTCTATTCTTATTTCACATATCGTTTTGCTGTCTTCTCTTTCAAAAACCATAACTTGCGTTCACTTTCATTCCCTTTTCTTTTAATGTCCTGTTCATTAATGTAACCATCATTTGCAACTCGGCTGCCGACGATGCAAGTATGACTTGATCATCGGCGTACAAAAGGCATTTGACGGTTAACTCACCCATTCTTAACCCGCATTCTTCTACTTTCAAATTTTCCAAACAACTGTCCATAAATAGGTTGAACAACCACGGGGAAGCCACACAGCCCTGTCTGACACCTTTATGGATGCCAAACCAGTCCGAGTAGGCCCCGTTGATTCTGACACAAGCACTAGAGTCCCTATATAGAGACTTCAATGCCTGTATCAGACCAGCGGTCAACCCAAATGAGTTCAGTGTTTGCCATAACACATCCCTGTCCACTCTGTCATAAGCCTTCTCCAAGTCTATGAACGCACAAAAAACTTTTTGGTTTTTGGCCAAAAACATTTTTCCGCGATCATGCGCATGGAAAAGACCTGATCCGTACATCCCATTCCCTTTCTAAATCCCGCTTGCACATCCCAAATTTTTCCATCACTTTCTTTCATAACTCTTTCAATTAGTACCTTAGCATACAGTTTTCCCACAATGCTAAGAAGGCTGATACCACGGTAGTTTTTACAGTCCTGCTGTGATCCATTTCCCTTATATATTGGGACTATCACGACTTTGCACCAGTCTCCCGGTACCCGCTTAAGTTCCCAACATAAATTAAACAAGGTGTACAGCAGGTCTGCCACCACTCCTTCTCCAGCCCTTAGCATTTCGAGAGATACTCTATCATAACCGGCTGCCTTACCTGCTTTCATACTTTTCATTGCTTTCATTATTTCATCTATACTTATATTTCTATCTATTTCCTCTTCTTTCGGAATTTCTATTTCATTTAATTCAAACGTCTCATCACTCATAAACACGCTTTCAAAGTATTCCTTCCATCTCCTTAAACTCAAAACTTCGTCATACAGAATACAGCCATTCTGGTCTCGTATAGCATTTATTTTAGGCTGTTGTGAATGTCCCCTGGTAATTCTTACGAGTTTCCAGAACATTTTAATGTTTGCCTGGAAGTTATCCGATATTCTTCTATCATTCTCATCCGTTCTTTCTTGCTTTTTCCTTTCAACTACTTCTTTTACTCTCTTATTTAGATGTCTAAAAACTGCCTTTTTCCTTTCAATATCATCATTCATACTGCTAGAATTACTACTAGCCTTGGTTGCTAGTAAATCTAGCCATGCTTTCTTCTTTGCTTCAACTTCCATCCGTACCTCATCATCCCACCATAACGTGTTATTTTTCCTTTCAATCATTCTCTTACTTACACCACATACTTCGGTAGCTGCATCCACTAAACCTTTCTTGACATTATACCACACAGTCTCCAAGTCTAAATCATTCATACACAATTCAGCCATACCACTTACATTTTCTCTCAATCTACATTTGAACTTCTCTTTCACACCTTCATCTTGTAACCTCTCTGTTCTTATACGCTGTAACGCAGTGGTAGACACAGATGTCCGATGCCTCCAACGTCTGAAAAGACCATTAATTCGGCATAAGACCAAGTAATGATCCGTCCCTACGTTAGAGCCCCGGTAAACCCTTGTATCTACCACCGCGCTCCTCATTCTTTCATCAACAATTATGAAATCTATCATACTTCTATCATCACCTCTTTCCCATGTATACGTGTGAATCTTCTTATGACGAAAGAAAGTGTTCGTCACAACAAGATTCTTTTCCACGCATACGGCGAGAAGGCTTTCACCATTTTCATTTATACTTTCATCACCATACGTTCCCAATATCCTTTCATAACCAAGCCTCCTCACCCCAACCCTTCCATTAAAATCGCCTAATATCACAATATTTTCATTAACCTTACATTTCATTAGCACCATCCTTACGAACTCCCAAAACTGCTCTCGGATATAAGTGGGCTTAGACATGTCTGGTGCGTAGACCCCTAAAACAAACAACTTCTTTAAGCCCACTTTCATTCGTATCCATAGCAGTCTCGGGCTTACACATTCATACTCTTTCACGCAATGACCCATTCTTTCTGAAAGGATGATACCGACTCCCTGGCATGCTCGCTCGGTCTCGTCTACACCAGACCAGTACGCGGTATACATGCCATGTGTAGTGGCATCCTTTCCCTTCCGTTTCGTCTCATTTACACATAACACGTCTATTCCTCTATCATACATCATATCGCATACTTCATCCATCTTATCATTCATTCCTCCACATACATTCAATGTAGCCGCAACCGCAATCCACTTTTCGCCCCTCCGGGGGACAGAACGTGACGGGTGGCGAACCTCGTCGCCGGTTTTCCTCCCGGAGATTCTTCGCACCCCCGCCCCATTAAAGGGGCGCCGGGAACTCGGGGCCATTTCATTAATTTTATGCCTCATGGTGCGAAAGTAAGTTGTGGTATTTTTTACGCCGCTACCACACGGCGAGGAGCCGAGTCAGTTCTTTCGGCTTTGTCGCTCGTTTAGCACCACCCGGGGGACACGTGTAGGGTGGGCCTAGGATTAGGTGGTCGAAGCCTACGGACGCGAGTGACTCATCCCCTTTTCAATCACTTTTATTTTTATTATTACTGATAGTATAGGTATTACTAATAATAACATAATATAAAAATATTTTGTGTGTTGTGTTGGTAGTCTTAAAAAGTTTATACGAAAATAGTATCAATATACTAAATGACTTGAATAGAATAAAATTATTTAAATCATTTATAATCCCAAAAATGTTTGTTTTTTCTGTGGCTTTAATTAAAATACATTTTTATTTGAAAAATTATAGAAAAATAATAAAAGTCATTTTATATATAACTTATTTTCAATATATTATATTAAGCCCCAGTGCTTTACAAAAGCTTCATTTAAGTTGAACTAACTTTATTCACCTCACTAAAATCCATCCGGATTTCATATAATTGGATATTTTGTTACAGTTATCTTATCAACTTATAAATGGCTCTTATGCTGGCTTCTGAAACAGACGTATGAGAAATACGAGTCATACCTCGCCAAAGGACTAACTAAGTTCCAAGCAAAGGCCAAATCACAAGTGTACCGATGGAAGAATTTAACTAAAGCATATGCTGAATATCTAGCTATTATTTTTAGTCTAGAATCCATAGAGAAGAAAGAGAAGGAGTTACAGCCAGTGCTGTTTAAACTCTTCACGCTGTATAGTCTTTGGTCGTTAGATAGACATTTAGTGGAGTTATACCAAGGAGGGTATTGTTCAGGAGATGATCCAGCGAGGTTATTGAGAGAGGCTATTATGGAGTTATGTGGAGAGTTGAAGAGTGAGGTTGTCAGTGTAGTCGATGCGCTTGCACCAACAGACTTTGTCCTTAATTCTGTTTTGGGGAAGAGCGATGGAAGAGTAAGTCTTTTTTTTTTTTTTTACTTTTATCTAAATTGAAAATTGAAATATATTGCGACAGTAAATTGATATTTAAATCTTCCAAGACAAGAAATGTCAATTTCTAATGCCAGAGAGTGCCACCGAAGGCACTAATTTAGATAGTGTAAAAGTATTCTTTATAATTTAGTTGCATATTTATAATTAATTTAAGAAATTTTTATTTCAGTTATACCAAAATCTTCAAAAGGCTCTCGTGAGCCATCCTGGGACATTTGAGCGGGCGACTTGGTGGCGAGAAGTTGTGCCTTCAGCTAAGCTATAATGTTAAATAAATAATGACGAAAACTTCTGCTATTGCACGTCGAATGGGTGCTTCTAACATTCAAAAATGGAAAAGTAAGTAGCAAAACTGTGCCATCATAGACTACTAGGAATTTGTCAATCATAAGATATGATAGATAATATTTAGCCATTTTGACCTTACGGTACTGTTGTTAGTTTTCTCTTTGACTCCTAGTGTTTCAAAATGTATTAGAGCTCCCTCATGCAAAGTATGAAATTAAAAATACTGCCATCGGTTATGTATAGAGACTATAGGCATAAAATAAGCTCCTAAAACTAGATACATAATAAAATATATTTTCCTATTGAATTGAATTGAATAATAAAGAAGTATTTTTTCTTCTATGTTGAAGGATAAAAATTATATTTGTATATTAAAAGTATAGTGAAAATCTTTGTTATATTCTGTACTCTGTTACTTCTGTACTTGTATTATATACATATACTGAACGTACTTTTTTCGATATAATTCTGTCACAAAGATTTCAGTATTTCCATTATCAAAGTTACATAGTAGTTAGATTCATTATTTAATGTTAATTATACACATAATATATATTATTAATAACTATAATTCTATCGCTTTAACATATATTATTTATAGAGCAGGTTCAGACAGTTTTTAATGGCAAAAATCACAGAAATCACTTAGGTAAATTGAATATCCGCATCTACTGTCAGGTTCGTGTAATTTAAATTTAATACAGCCTACACAGCCTATTATAGCAATGAGATTTGCATATCAGCAAACACACATTTCTACTGCAGAAATGAGTTTACTCTGATCCTGTAATAGAACAAAAATCCCAGTCTGTTCCTTGCATTGGAGCTTTATTTATAATAAAAATTATACTTATCGAATTTTGATTTATATTCTTTCATTTGCTCTCTGTCATAATAAATTGTAGTTCAAAGTACTAGAATTACCGGGGCTGGCTAGAGCAGGCTAAAATAGATATTGTATTGTTAGGGTGATTTTACTCAAAAATGTTTGTTATAAATTCCAGTGCATTTATTGCTTTTTTTTTTTCTAATCCACGCCACATTTGGTGAGTTTTATTTTTTTATATACTTTACAATATTGTAAATGCATATTATGAAATAATCAAATATATTTTTTTTATTTCAAGCTAAAGATATTTTCCAATGTCATGTTATCCAGTAAAAGTATTACTTTATATTTTTTTTTATTTAACACTGCAGTGTTTGTTGTTATGTTTTCACATAATATAGGAAATTTTGTTTAATGATGGAAAATTTTAATAATAGTTTTAATAAGTTAAAAGTGATTAGACCATTTCAATTTAAGAGCGTATATTTTCATTTTATTCTAACATACCAGCTGACTTTTTACCATGAGGAAAAAAATGGGATGTAATAGATGAACGAAGGTTTAGATATTTTTTCAAACTTGATTTATAAAGTAAACTTTCTAAATTAGAAGTGATTACAAATTACAGAGATTATAATAAATAAAACTTTATAGAAATTAAAATATATTACTTTACGCGTGCCAGTATCAATGAATTTGTAACTCTCTTGACCTTGTACTGGCTGTTAGGTAAAAAGTTTACTTCAAATTTGTAGGTAATATTTATTGATAGATCTATTGAAAAGCATATAAAATATCTATGGCGTTGACCGCTATTTCGTTCGCCATCATCTTTTTTTTCACAGTAAAAAAATAACGCTAGGTATGAACAATTATTTTTTAAATGTAGTCAATTTTACTTCAAAACGTTTTTTAATCAAAACAGTCCAGACGTGTATTTATTTGTAAATGAAAAAAAGAATTGAAGTTTTGCTGTAATGTTTTAATCTATAAATGTCTACCACTTCAAAACTAAAAATATTTAAATTTTTTGAATAGAAATCTTCATATTAGTATTTTGATTATTTTTTGTGATTAATTCTCTTTCATTTACATAAGGACTTATTATGTTAGACATAAACATTGCACTAATAGTTCCAGCAATCATTGAGCCTTTGCAATTTAGTTAATGCTAGTAATTATTTGAATTTAAAATGAAGTTAAATATTTTATGTCATTAAAGTTATTTTAATCATATTTTATTATTCTTATGTATTTTTTACGTCAAATACCAAAATGTTCAATATTTATTTCATACATTTGTCGTGTGTGACTATATAACGATGTGTTGACTATTAAATATATATTTCAATGTCATGTTTTATGTCGTTGAGCGGAATGTTAATTAAAAAATGAATATAAGTACTTCATTCAGTCGTTTATCATATCAGCCTTTGTGATACTGAAAAATGAACTTCATCGCATGATTTATTAAAACATTTTTTCACATATGTGCCTTACTTTGTAACACTATGGGTTCTGTCTTGAGGAATGGGGAAGTAGTGAACAATATTCCAGTCCAATACTAATTAACCGAATGGTGTCATTCGCGTGGGAAAATAATATTAATTAGGATATTTTGCTGATATGTGAAATCGTTATGGTATTTGTTTTTGTATAATTATATAATACCAGGGACAAAGTTGTACATTGTCCTTGGTGTTATATTAAGATGTTTCTGCATTTTACGATAATTTTATCTAGGTATTTTGCAATAATTAAACTGAATAAACAATGCAAATAATGATGTGTCGGTTTTGATTTTTTTATGTTATTAAAATCAGCTCGTTTTGTTGTTATTAGTAGTTAAGTTGTATCTAAACAAACTTACACTTTCACTTTCACTTCAGGTTGTAAAATCTCTATCCCTCTCTCTCTCTCTCTGTACATCTGAAAGCAAACTATGTTTAAATATCATATTTTTTTTAAACATAGTTTGCAATTGGTTGAAGTTTAAAAATAAAATTTACTTTCATTAGAATTTTTCTTGCATTATGGATGCATCTGTATCTGATGAATTTTACATAAATAAATCACACGTGGGCAAACACAGAGACATGGAGAAGTTATTTGTATTATTTGTAGGCCATAGAGGTCCTTGATATGTACAGGTAAAAAAAGTAGCCCCTTGTGCGACGCGACTTTAGCTTTTCCGTTCATGGAAGGGCGACGAGTGGCAGTGTTAGTCATTTTAGAAGGTTACTAGTTTAAAAAAAAAAGCATAAGAACATGGCATAGGTAAATATAGATTGTGCCGTAAAATATATGTAGTCAGGTCTCATTATCCAAGGAATGCTTTTGTATGGACAAACCGCCAGCCGGTATTCTCTTATAGAAACATCACATCTTTCGACATTGAGTTGCAATTTTTACATTGTATTTTATTTTTTTGTATACCTAATAATTGATTGATAGTTATATAATAGTATATTTAAATTTATAGAAAAGCCCTATGCGAAAATTAAATTTAGTTATCAATTTTAGCATTTTAAATTATGGAATATTGCTTTTAAGTCCAATATTAGTATGCATTTAGATTCATTTTTTTGCATTTATGGATGGAAAAAAATTCATTCTTAAACGGCTGTGGGTTTTCTATTATAACAAATTAGTAAATATACACTATTGTAAGATATTTTCCAGAGTATTTATTTTTAGTACATGACAATTATATAACAGAAAAATACACATCCCATTAGAAAATTAATTAATCGCTTTTAATTCTGTTTTTTAATTATTGATGAAAATAAATATAATATTTGATTAAATAAGTTATTTACTAAGCAGTACGTATGCACGTGCCTTGTGCTCGTTGGATCAGAAATCCAGATGATTTTTTATCAAATACCCTGGTTGTCTCAGATTTTATCGCAGGAAGGTTACATCAAGTTTGATTTGCACTAATATTTACGCGCTATAATTTCGACATCTTATGGGTGGGTGTCACCGTAGTTATAATAGACCAGTGAAATAAGTTTATTTAATAATATTTATTTTTATTTTCAAGTGTTGTTTGTTAATTATTTCATAGATTTTTCTCCGCGGGATAAACATGTCAGGTCCTATCATAATGCCAAAGGTTAATTCATCATTTTAGTATGTAAGCTACAAAAGTTTTAGTGCAAATTAATGTTTACAGGTGTTATTAATAATATTTATTTAATAATTGGATAACCTCGGCGGCAATACAATTCATATCTTTTACACCATGGATTTTGAATCCTGTATTATTAATATGCAATTTAAAACGGTGTTTTATTCACTAAAGAATACAATGTCTGTGAGAAATGTTATTATTGGCGGGAAAATTAAATGGTCGCTCATTACCGCATATATTTTGAATGTCACAATAACTCAATATAAGTAACAGTATATTGTTAATTTGGAGGTATGAAAATATATTTAAGATATCTGAAATGATTTTGAAACTCTTCAAGTCAAGACCATTTCATTTTTATGTGGGAATACTTCAAAAATAGTAAATATGTGTGTATTGGTAAATAACGAGATATATTTTGTGTATTAGATATATCCCTTGGTAGAAGTGCCTTGTAATAAATGTAATTGTGTAATAAAAATATTATTTATAATAAAGCGACGACTTTTGTTCAAATTAATAAACGATTAAAAAGTTTGTGGTTTTTTTCACTACACATTGCGCTAAGTTTTGTCACTTAGTACGTTGTATATAATGTACAATACGCAGTCATTACTCGTCTTAACGACAGTCACGTACGTTAGTACTATTATTTATTCTGTGGTTACGCAAGTCCACTACTGAGAGCACGACGAGCGTCCCCTATACTCCTCCATAGAGGGATATTTGCCACAGCTGCCACGCTTGCAGGCGGATTGGTAACCGCCGTTACCAATCCAACTATATTATTATATAGTTGATATCAGGAATATGCTGGTGCCCATTTTCTGTAGCATCACCCTTTGTCGTTTCTAACGACTCCAACGAGATATGAGGTAGTAGATTCTTTCACGCCGCCAATACCCGGCAAATATTAAATATGAATAATAAAATTTGGCATCTTTCACCATTTATTTATTTTTAAAATAGTGAATTGTGTAATAGATACAGAACACATTTAGAATGTGTTAATAGTAAGAAAGTGCATTATATAGTGCTTTTGAATTACGAGTTTAATTTTTCTAATTAAAATTTATTTTATTGTAAATTGTTAATAACTAAATTCGATGTAATACAATTAAGAAAATTGAAGCAAGACGAGGGCTTGTTCAACTACTATTATTTTAACATCGTTTTCCTCGTATTTTCTTTTCTATTAACCTATGTTCACAAAATAAACAGATTTGATTTTTTTTTTCTATACTTGTTGACCTTTTTGCATCCATCGTTGTATCTTATACATATATTTCACTTTGAAATATGTAGCAATACTAAAATATTCCTAGGGTTTAGTTTTTTCTAACGAAAATGTTGAATAAATAACTTAGTTAAAAGGCATTTTGTAGCACAAATGGGTCGGCTCAACCAGAGAAGGACAGAATACCAGCATAAAATAGCAGCTGGTATGTTTCATATGGTGAGTGTTAGAGAACCAGAGACCCTTTTTACTGGAAACGAGGCATTCCATCTTAGTCTTTACGGGTAACGCATCTGTATTTTCATTCGTAATCGAGGATGGATGTAGATGTCTATGGGCCACAGCAACCATGGAGTGTGTGTTCTTTTGTTACCTTTGTCTTATAAAAAAAAGTTGAATTGACAAGAGAACGTTGTTTTAAATTTTCTTCGACACGTCCTTGAGCAGTTTTTAGAAATGGTTAGATCCTTGGTACTGTAATGTAGCAACAAAGCTTTGGCTCAATAATCCGTGTCAATCACTTTGTACGGGGTATTGCATATAAAACAACTAATGGAAGTGTAAGAAATTATAACATGTAAAAATAACTTAATTCATTCTAATTAAACTAGCTATGTTACCGTCCAGAAATGATGGTACTAATTACATTACTCAAAATTATGAGTAGCTTACTAAATAAAAAAGTACATGAAACTGTCACATTATTTGTTAAGACCAACTAAGAAAGATAGGTGAAACAAGAAAGATGGTTGCGTGAGTTAGAAAAGCGCTGCGTTCACGCACTCGCGCGAACGCAGCGCTTTTCTAACTCACGCAACCATCTTTCTTGTTTCTTTCTTTATCAGCCCGTAGAAGTTCACTGTGAACGCACACATATGCATCTAAAACCATGCTGTTTGCAAGTGATTTGAAATGTTTTTAGATACATTTGTGTACGTGAGTGGTGCGTGGCTTAGTTTTTGCGTCACTTGAAATGTAAGAAGCACAGCTTCTTTCTTTCTTTGTTGGTCTGAGGTATGATATAAATAAAGTCTATATTATGATTTTCAATTTGTTTAGTCTAAATTGACAAGTCTATGCAATACACTAATTATTATTAATTATATCATTTATATATACCAACAAAAATAACAAACAAGTAACATATTTACGTGATTATTGGAATTATTATCAGACATTTGTTTTTGCTCATTTATATATGAAATGTTAAATGATCGCACATATGTAAATGTATGCAACACATTATTACATATGAACTCTTGAGTCTATGAAAACGTGCATAAAACTATGCTTATCAAAGTACACTGTTGAACACAGGCCTCCCCCATTGATTCCCCATAGAAGGGATGTTTTATAAAACTGAAGTAACGAACAAACTTACAGTTATACTTGATGGTAAGAGGTTACTGCAGCCCATGGACATCTGCAGCCAATTCCAAATAAAGAAGGCTACAGATGCATTGTCACCTCTGAGGACTAAGATGGAATGCCTTCCATCCTGTAATTATACGTTTGTAATATTATCAAACGCGTCTCAAGCTGCGTTGACCTGTAATATCTAGAATTTATTTATTATTCTTTTATACGTGATAGAGCCATGCTGCAGCTATAATATTACTGGTATAGTTGTAGCACGAATGGGTCGGCTCGACCGGGAAAGGACCACGCTCTCACAGAATACCAGCGTTAAATAGCAGCTAAGCACTGCTGTGTTTCGTATGGTAAGTGTAGAGAACCGGGACACCCCTTTTACTGGGAAAGAGGCATCCCATCTTAGTCCTCACGGGTGACGACGCATCTGCATTTTGATTCTTTATTGAGGATATATGTAGATATCTATGGGTCACAGCAACCAGTTACCATCAGGTGGACTGTGTGCTCGTTTATCACCCTAATTCTATAAAAAATATCTAGAAGTACGATTATGTAATTGATGGGAATCGTCTGCCCGTGAGAATCATTCCGTAACTGCGTTATGTTCATTTCTTTATGATAATATTTAGCAACCGAAAATAATATATTAATTTAAAAAAAAACATTGGCTTATAATCGATACTGATATACAATACTACGCATTTCTACAGTTACAGCCTATTAAAGCCCACTGCTGGACATAGGCCTCCCCCATAGATTGCCCGATAGGGGGGATATTATCCACTGTTGCCACGCTTGGCAACTGCAGTTTTTTTACTTTTAAGTCGTTATTAGGAAGACTTTGCAGCCAATCTCCTGTTTTGTTTCCCTCTGTCGCCTCTTACGACACCCACGGTATGATATAGGATGGTGGATATTCTTACACCGCCACTACGCGGTTATCAGAATATTTTTCACGCTACTTTCAGTGGCGTGAAAATATTCAGTAATGTAAAAAATAGACTAAGAGCTTCGTTATGAGCCACTCTCAGAATTAGAAATTATAGTAAATGTTTGTTACAATTTACTTTTGAAAAGATCTCTTATTTAATTTCCTTCCGTAAGCTAATACGACTCCCCGGATGATACGTCGCCACTACAGAGCGAATCCTCGGCGGTGTTATATAACGTTCGATGAGGCCTTCAATTTGGCGCCTATTTGACCTCTACGAAACTAGGCATGTTAAACACTACGAGAGAATATTTCATGTCGAATATATGTATAAGGCGCACGTTTGGCTTGACAAGTTAATACTGTTCTCTTCTCTGAGCAGGGGCACCACAGTGCCAGCTTCATCCATTCGATCGACTTAATTTACATAGTTTTGCAAAGAGACCTTGTATCTTTTTGTATTTACAACAGGGACTGCTCCGAGGCAACTTTTAATTCCGCATTCTACTTCACCGCATTTTTATGAATTACCCATATACAAAAAATTGTAAAAGTAAATTGCACAATGTACGACGACATTGTGCAATTTACAGTCACCAGCAGGTCGGACCGATACAACTATGGAATCTTTATGAAAAGGGCTTACTTCTTTCTTAAAGATCGGCAATACTCCTACCATTACCATTAGTCACTTTGTAATACATTGCGTCGTATGTTACATAGCTTTCTCAAGCTCACGGCTCATCATACAGAGCAATGTACTACAAAGTGTATCATTTGAGAGAGCGAATATGCCTGCAGGTGAGAAAGGTTAACGGTTGCCACCTCTTCTATAAGCACTCGTGTCTAATAAGAAGTGACATGAGCGTCGGATACCAAAAAACATTGAATGCCATATTTTGCGTACATGAGATCAGTATGCTTTAACTGCGTTTAACTCTACCACTTTTAACAGTGGTAGAGCCACGCGGCAGAATTTGTGTCGCACGGATGGGCCGGCTCGAACCGGGGTGGTACCACGACCTCACAGAATACCAGCGTGAAGTAGAGGTTTACCTCTGCGTTTCGCTTGGTGAGTGCAGGTGGCCGGAGGCCCTTCTTACTGGAAATGAGGCATTCCATCTTAGTCCTCACGGGTGACAACGCATCTGCATTTTGATTCGCAAACGAGGATAGATGTAGATGTCTATGGGCCGCAGCAACTACTTACCATCAGGTGGACTGTGTGCTCGTTTGTCACCCTAATCCTATAAAAAAAAATAGAGACATAACATATTGATATTGAGCGCGATTTTTAAAAATTATACAAATATAATCTAAATAATGATCAATTATTTAAGGGGAAGCCTATTAAACAAATTCCATTTTATAATTATAAGCATATTTTTTTCTAATTAAATTATATTTAAATTTGATAGCTCATACATACAAAGTTTGTAGGTATTACAAACTTTTAGTTACATAATATACTTATTATCTAAATCACTTAACCGTCATAAGTATCAACCGTGTAACACAGTCTTTTCCATTCGAGTTTCATTTTCTGATTTAACATCTTTTTCAATAAATATAGCTGCCTTGAGATAAAAGGTCCTAGATTGAATGGCTTGGAGTGAAATTAGTTACGAAAAAGGCAAGTTAAAGTAAAATTTTGGTTAGATTTGGTTATAGAGGATCACAGGTGAACCATGTTAAATTCGAGCTATTGCTTTTGGAAACTTAAGCAAAGAATGAAAGATCATTAAAATTGAAGCAGAGAAGGTAAAAATGTGAATGTCTATTCTGATCGTATTCAAAAATGAAATTGGCTTTACAATTAAGAAGTTGTAATTCAGTTGATGTAAAACCAGAAAATTCAACTCCACTCTTTTAAATCGCTTTCACAATCTATGTTTGAGAATATAAAAACTAATAATAAATTTTTATACTTTCGACTTGTGAGCTCGCGCTGGCGGTGGTTTGATATGGCGTGTAGAAATATCTTCATTCTAACATTTTCAATAAGATATCACTCACAGTATATGCTTTCCACTTTTCATTATAAACCCTGATGACAGAATAATTTTTTAATTTGTTACTAAATATTCTAAACAACGCTTTTTGGAATAGTTAGCGTTAAAGTTTTCAAACAAATTTTATTTAAATCAATTTTAATTAACTTTTAGTAGCTTAAAAAATCAACCGTTTTCTATTACATTTGTTTTTTATATTTTTTTTCCAAGCATTTCACTTCTCTTTTTACGATTAGATCTTTTGACGTTCAGTAATTTTAAATGTAAAACTAAAACTAATTACATTTTCATTTCTACTTTTAACAAATGTAAAAAAGAGTGCTAAAACCCAATTCATTTATTTAAGAAGTGCCAAACTACAGAAAGACGTCATCTAAAACACACAACCTAAATTTATCATATCTCATACCAACCATAAAAATTGACATTAAACGTGTATTTTTACCTCACTCACGGAAATGTAAATATGGACTTTAATTTTATCAAAAAATTTAATATCCTTTATTACAATTACTATAACGTACTGTATACGTTTTTTTTATTAATTAATTTGAATTAAGAAGACATTGACATGCCAATTTAGCTGTGATCACTGTCCGTGACAGTGGAGCTTGTCATTCTAATCACGGGATGTTGTGTAGAGTCACTGGAATCGCATTCGACCATTAAAATATCATCAGGGCTATCATTCCTCTCAGAATTACTTTCGGTGTAGGTGCCCGTGGGTGACTTGTCCTCTATAACCGCTTTCAAATACGACTCGCGGTCCATAATCGTGGCATCTCTTGCTAATGCGAGGACATCCAGCGACATCATGCTTTTAGACTTCTCTGTCTTATTCATAGATGTGTTTACACTTTCAAACACTACATCCCGACTTTTAGACTTTGTTTTGGTCAAATTCGACTCAGTTTTCCAGCTATCGCTCGGCGGTTGGCTGTTTCTATGCGCTGTGTTTGTGCTTGTTGTGGGTGCGCTAAAATTTCTTGGCGAGCTCGCTGTGAACTTTGACCTCTTCTGCTGATTATTTTCCTTCATCATCAATAACTGATCTAGTTTGTTTATTGTCTCGTTTAGTTCTTGTGCCCATGCTTCGTCCGTGTCCACATCGCTTCGGTCTATTGGTTTTAGCGCCAACTCTCTTACCCTCTTCCTAAGCTCTTGTAAACTAGGCTCGTCGTCTTTCTCTAATTCTTTTCCATCCAACTGCGTTTCATCATGTATTGGATCGTGTTCTGCCCCAACTCCTGGCTCCCTAGGACCAACTGGTATGGAATCCTTCCCTGGCGGATATTCCCCTCTACGTCTATGAATCTCCTCTGATATCTCTTCCAGTGCTTTCAGGGATTTTGAGTAGCGGAATTTTGCGTCGGCGATTAAACGCTGCAATTTTTCAATCTTCTCATTTTGCGTTTGCAATTGTTCGTCGCACAATTTCTTCTCCTCAAAATATATGCGCGACTTTATGATGCTGCGTTTCAAATTTTCTTCTAGTTGTGCTACCTGAAATTAAAAGTTTATATCATATTAAATGTGCCGATGCTGTTTTTCACGGATGAAACACCTGCACATCGTGCATCTCTGCGGACCCTTTATGCGCAAACGTAACACTCATCCGGAATACTACGTACTTAGCTCGGAAGAACTGAAAGTGCTCACAGCTAAGCAACTCCTTTCATTCCCTTAATTCAGTAATTCATTATTGGGGCGATGTATACGCTTTTACAACAAAATCCCATAAAATATACAAAATTTGATCTCCTCACAGTTAAAAACTTTATTAAACAAAGTTTCCATAAAAAGAGTTATAATATTAAGGAATTTATGGATGGTAATAACCCCTGGGTATGAGGTGATCGCTACCAAGCTGTTTCTAAAAGGTTTCATAACAAGTGTATAAAATATTATTGTGCTTTTAATGTCCCGCTAGATTTCTTGCTGGTTCTTCACAGGACAGGAGTTTTCTTTCCGAACCAGTGGTGAATTAAACAAAATAAGTATTATATATAATCTACTAACTGGTACCCGGCGCAGTGCAGCCGCAGAAGAAATAATTATGGAAATATCCTTTTAAATTTGGAAGAGTTATTTTAATTGAATTTGAATGATATAGGTATAACTTTCAAATAAAGGAGAATGCCAGATCGTGCCCCACCTTGTACAAAAAAGGTAAAAATATGAAAAATAATCTTATGAATTTTGAAGTTTTTTGTGATAAATCGTTATTTTGTACAACTTGCGGTAAAATATTATTTAAAAAAAAGGAATTCGACGATTAATGTTAACAGTTTCCAGTATTTTCTAATAAAATCTGCGTTTCTTTGTACGAATAAGTCCTACATACGTACGCATTAAGTCTTTGTCATATGTAAATGTTACTTATCAATTTTTATTTTCAATTATTATTATAAGTCGATAATAACCATGACTTGCATTAGATAATTACTGAATAACAGTCATTAATTTTTGTGCATTTTGTGAAATGATACACACACGTCATTGTGTCAATATCGTAAGTACGTATGTCAAATTAATGTCGAATACTTTCTCACATTGACTAATATGTGCTTATATTGATTATGATTATATCACATTTTTGATTGTGGTGATTTCCGCTTTGTATACGGACTCGATCACGCCTACTTATTGACTTACAGCTAATTACTACGGACATTCTGATAATTGCATCCACGATGTTGAGGTGCACTAATTGTCATCTTTGTGTCGATAGGATGCAGAGGTATTTTGTGTCCTCATTTAGATTTACAATCTTAACTCTTTTTTCAACATGGAGATCTTTGCAACAGATATATTTAGTTTTATAGTATTTTTATATAGTTGATAATTTATGGTCCTGCCGTTGTCGTAAAATTAGTTACTTATCTGTGAATATTCACACCTTCTTCAGACACATGTTACAATAATATGTATCTTGAAAAATAATTTTGTAAATAATATAACTCGTTTACATGACTTAGATTTTATGAAAAACAGGTTTTGCTAGTCTTATATTGTGTAAGGACCTTTTAGATCCTATACAAGAGAACCCTTTTTCCAATGTTACTGATCAATATATTATTATGCTCCTTAAATTCTTATATTGTTATTTATATATATCATTAGCGCCTGACAATTTATATTCTGAAATTACAATGAAATGCAACGAATGTTGTTTTAAAAAAATAGGTAAATGTAATTATTAAAATCCAATTAAAAAAAAATCGCAAGTTCTAGAGACTTCAAATTATATAATTTGGATGAAATAATAAAGTAGAAAGAAAAATGATGCATACGGCATTCGTGTACACCACACTTTTGGATGGGGCAAAGTTCTATAGATAATCTGGCATTCTTCTTTGTCGTTACGATACGCGCGCCACCTAGTGTTAATTGTAGAAAAAGTTTTTGTTTCTATTTAATTAAAGATATAGGGCTTAGCTGTGAACTATAGCCCTAGCAGCGATCACTATAGATCATACTAGTTGTAGTGATACTGATTATATTAGACCTGCATCGCACAATATTAATAAAAAAAAACTTAAACATACTAATAGTCTACAATGGTCAAATTTTGATTTTTAATTTTATTTTTTTAGAAATGTATTCAAATGTCCAATTAATTAATGCAAAATCTTATAAATTTTGAGGACACCTGTGCCTAGTAGTAGAACGTATATATGCTATTACTACCTATGCCTTTTTAAAGAAAAAAAGAAACATTGAACTCGTTTACTTTTCTTTCGGCCGCGATGTACGCTGCAGCTTTCTTTTGATGCTCACGTCCACTCTCAGCTTTTCTCTTCTCTGCGTCCATAACCTGAAACAATATATTTAGAACCAACCTAAAATTATCTATAGAAATAAATAAAATTGAAGTGTCTGTAATGCCAAAATAAGAGCTTTTTACTAAATGCATATGAAAGCATATTATACGGTACTAATAACAAAAACACAATTGTTAACATTTTTGTCTGTCTGTCTATCTGTCTATTTGTTGCAGCTAATCTCCGTAATGACTGTACCGATTTTGACGGGACCCTCACTGGCAGATGGATGATGTTATAAGGAGTAATTTAGGTTACTTCTATTTTAGATAACTTCAAAAATAATTAAGGTTTCGCGCTTAAAATTAAAACCCATGAAATCCCATCGTAATAAATTCCACGCGGACGAAGTCGCGGGGAACAGCTTGTCACAGCTGGAACAGTAGTTATTCTGTACTAATTATAAGCACTTCGACGACCGAGCTAATCAGGGATGACACGATGATACCTATCTATATATAGTTTGAAAGTAAAACATTATCCAAGCACAAAATTCCATCCAAATTGTCCGAGCCGTTTCCGAGAAGCGAATTACATATATACAGGTTACCGGCGGCATAAGAAAATCCAGTACCCCATATCCTCCTGTGGGTGTCGTAAGAGGCAATAGAGACGAATAAAATAGATAGGAAGAAAATAATAACAAACTGCAGTTGCCAACTCGTCTGCTACGCGTGACAACTATACTAAATATATCCTCTTAATGGGGGAGGCCTATGTTCAGCAGTGGACTTTTGTAAGACTGTATGGATGATTATGATAATAATGATGGTATAATATACAAGAGTTGCTCACTTAAAGTATCGGATTTATTCCTAAATTTATTAAAAGAATCTCAAAATTAATGCGACATCGTGGCGCTGTGGCTTAGCATAGAGTAACGCTAAGGGCCGCGGGTTCAAATCCTGCACGGATCAAGTATTTCTATTCCCTACAAATAGTCGACCTAGGTCCGGAGCTTTTCTTGCGCAATTTATGTATGTAAACTGCCTCCATGATACTGGAGAATATCCTAGGGTCGAAATCCATTTCTGTTTAAATATTTTTGGCAAGACTAGTGCCACTGGCACTCCAATGTGTTCCTCACCTTGATGATGGCATGGTTGAGGACCTCCTGCCAGTTGCTGTCGAACTGCCACTCGTCCTGCTTGCTCACAAAGCGCTGCTCCGCAAGAGTCACTGTTTCTTTTGCAGCCGCGTGCAATTCTGGAAATTATACACGGTTCATAATGTATGGAAACAACAGCAAAATAGGTTTGTGTATATAGATATATAATATGAATCATTCTCCATCAGGACTGTTCTTGGATGTCACAACATCGTAGACTTGGGCTAACGGGTACAGGAAGATAGTAGGAAAACGAAATCGAAAAATAATAGGAAGGAGTAGACTATAATTTATACTGAGCGTAAGTTAAATCATACGGTGGAAAAATCTTCTGTAATTTTAATAATTTTCAAAAATTACAAATTGTAATACCCTCAAAATGTTTTAGAATACCATGTCAGAAAGAGACGACACATAATTTAACTTTTAATAAATAAAAGCCGACTTCAAAGAACTCTCAGAATGATATAATAATTTCAATTTAATAAGTTGAGATTATTATTTTGTATCACCACAGAATACATAATAGTTGGGGTATATAGCAGACGAAAATAAATTTAGTGGTGTTAAAAGAGGAACATAAAGAAAATAGTATTAAAAAAATCTCTCTCCAGTACTTCAGAATAGCTTTTGGGAAACTAATCAATTGATGGGAAGTAGGTAATTATCAAAATTTTAATTTTGAAATAAATAGACTTATTTTGGTGATACTCGTTTCACAATATTAAAATAGTATTTGTAAAACAAGAACAAGAGACAACAATCCCAATCATAAATAATAGTTTAAAAAGGCGACAAACAGATGTGAATCAACAATGTAGGTGTATTGCGTTTGAGTGTGATCTCATACGAAATTGTTCCTAATCAAAGGAGCGAATCTGATTGAAGATGTTCACTTGTACGATACTATTAAACATTCTATTTTTAGACAACGTAATTAACCTAATATGTGACCAATCTGGGTCTGGGTACCAAAGAGATTGTTAACTTCTACTTTTGTGCAGGGTTATCATGTTTTTGGTGGTGAAATAAAAGGCAATATGAGGCACAACCTGCATGTGTGTAAACTAATATATTTCAAGGACATGTGAAATCCGTCAACACGCACAGCGCAGCGGACTGATTGTTCGATGACTCTCTCAGAAATCAGGGAAGGCTTGTATTGTACCCAGTAGTATGGTATATAAACAAGTGGAAAAATTAAATTAAAAAGGCACTGATCAGACCTTGATCAAAAAGAATCTTCAAATCGGTTCACCTAGAAAAAAGTTATGAAGTAACACACACACATAAAAAACACGTAGTCGAATTGATTACCTCCTTCTTTTTGAAGTCGGTTGAAAATAAGGCCAGAAATGATTTGTCACTCTCGAGGACTAAAGATAAAATATTTCACAGGGTTGATAAATGCTCAAAGCCCGTGTTAATAAATTATTACCACTAATATAGGTACAACAAATAATAAGTTAAAACTTGCGCGCCCTTCACTAGATAGAGTACCTGATAAAACATGCAAGGCAAGTTTGTCAAAGAACTGTGTTCTATGGTTTTTTTTTTGAAAGGATAGGGTGACAAACGAGCACACAGTTCACCTGATGCTAAGTGGTTGCTGTGACCCATAGACATCCATATCTATCCTCAATAAAATATCAAAATGCAGATGCGTTGTCACCCGTGAGGACTAAGATGGAATGCCTCTTTTCCAGTAAAAAGGGCCTCAGGTTCTCTACACTCACCATACGAAACACAGCAGCTTTAAGCTGCTATTTTACGCTGGTATTTCGTGCTACAACTATACTACTAATATATCTGCTGCATGGCTCTACCACGTAATGCTGCATGGTAATCTATGGGAGAGACCTATGTTTAGCAGTTGACTTGTGTTGCGAAATGTAATTATGATGATTACTGTACGTTTGTATGAGGTAGAATACATCGATAGTGTACGCTGAGGTCATAATGAGTTAACAATGGTCGAAAAGCAATAGTTATCAAGTGAACAAACACAATGTTGTCGTCCATGCAAGGTCAGCGATATCGCGCGTAAAGGTTTGGCAAACGTGTGTTTTATCAGACGTCTGTTTGTATTCTATAAAAAAAATTGTTGCCGTGTGAGGTGTGTTTAGGGTTACCAGATATTTGGTTGCAAACGTAACAAACGTATAAAAAATATCAATTATTTGTTTAGTGCATTCTCGCGATATTTTGTTGAAAACTCGAAAAATCCTGACAATTCCATAATCCGACAGCAATCCTGACATGAACCCAAAGTATTGACATGTCAGGACAAATCCTGACATATGGCATTCCTAGGTGTGTGTGTTTGTGTTAAACCAAAACCACGTGACATGGGACTAAATTTATTCGATATGTAAAATATAATGTTAAATGATATGAACATATGAGGCAGTGCCGGTGTAAGTATATTGTCTACCCTATATCATCCATCCCGTGTGTGTTGTGTTGTGAGAGGCAACAGAGGGAAAGTGCAGTAATTTCCTGATAACAACCTAACTCACGTAAAAAAATCTTTGCCCGTTATAAGCAATTAATTGAGTACTGACTTTTGTAATTACTAACTTTGTAAAAATATAGCACAAACATTTTAATGTCTATAAGCCTAAATTATAGTCTAACTAACGCCATATTATAGCTTTTTCGAATCGTTCTAATACTATTTATAATTCACATACTGGGAAACCGACAACATTTCAAACCAGGACATGTTCCGCTCAACCGGGATGTACGGCAACCATATACTTCTCTCGAGTTGAGCCAGTATTGAGAAATCAGAAATTATCTCACTCGACGGGCGGATTGTCAATTGAAGTGAGATTGCAATCGCCGTCCGGAACTGCAATCGTCAAACTGCCTAAGTGTGGCGACTATGGCACATCCGCCCTACTGTGCCATAGGCATATGTACAGTAGACTTTACGGGCTGATGATAAAGAAGATTTTAAACACAATATACACAATAATTTAATTATAATTAGATTGTATTTAATAAAAAACTTGAACTTTGTGCAGATTTGTTGTTTGGCAAACTGATAATGTGTATAAATAATTACTCGTACATTTTACGATATAAAGATAAGTTTGCGCCAAAACATGAATAAAAAAGCAAAAATGCCCGCAAAATATAATTAAATACCGCTAGCGTGATAGCGGCTTCCTGCGACTGCGGACGAGGCCGCGCCGCCGCGCCCAGGCCGCATGAAGAATGGTATGTTATTATGACCCCATTACTATAATTTAGAAATACTTTTTTCCTACGAAATTCGAAACGTTAAGTCGATTTAGGTGATGACGTTACTAAAATACTATATACGGCCGAAAAATAAAAATAAGAGACGTAAAAATGAAATTAATTTTACGAATTTTATCGTAACATTATATAAGTACATCAAGTAACTTCTTTTTAATTCTCAACGGGTCTCGGGATAACTGAGGTGTTTGACTGTCTTGTATTGCGATAAAGTCCGTAAAATTGGTTTTATTCAATGTCGAGCATTCTATATCTATACAAATAAATAAAATTGAATTGTCTGTCCGTAATGACAAAATAACAGCTTTGTACTAAATTCATATGAAAGTATATAACGTACTTATAACAAAAACACATTTTTTTTTTAATTTTTTTTCTCTCTGTCTGTCTGTTTGTTCCGGCTAATCTCTGGAAAGAAGAAATACAAAAGAAGGGTAGCAACGCATCTGCATTTTGATTCTTAATTGATGGTAGATATAGATGTCTATGACCCACAGCATCCACTTATCATCGGGTGGACTGTGTGCTCGTTTGTCACATAATAAAATAAAATAAATAGAAAATCAGCGTTGGGTTTCCAACTTCTTTCTTCTTTCTATAATTTTAATTATCTTTGTTTTCTAATTTTTAGCCTGTTTTTTCGTTCTTGAAATTGTTTTTTTGTTTTGACTTCGTATCTGTGTTCTGGTGCCTTGTGTGTGCGTCAAAATAAATATTTCTTTCTTTCTATTCTTTAAAAAAAAGTCTGTATGTTTAATAGTGTAGTTGTAATGGGCTGTGATAATGACGATGTAGGTTATAGATCATATTAATAGAATCATCACTGCGTAACTTGGCAAAACTAAGATCTAAGAGATATAAAGAAATCGGTAGCAACAACACAATAATTTTAACTATTACACTATGCCCTCTATTATGCCTATCGTATGAACATAAGCTAAGCATACACACACGGCACAAGCACGTGTGTACACGGTCCGCATTCATATGTAAATTAGTAAGAATTGACTCTAGTTAACACTCTCCTGTTGTGCTAACCTATGCCACCATAGAATTATTACGTAATAATTCTATGTATGTCACATATTAACTCAGACGCAATAACGACGGTATAAACTGCATGACCTACTAGAAAATCTTATGCTTTATTAGTTTCATGATAATTACTAAATTAAATTAAAAGAGTGAATGGGGCTCTACACTCTATTGTGGAAAGTCAGAATATGTCCAAAAAGCCACGTATGGCAATTCACAATGCTGTGATAGTCCCTACTTTAATGTATGATAGTGAAAGTTGGGTGTGGCAGAAGAAGCACGAGAGTAGAATAAATGCTGTAGAAATGCGGTCATTAAGGAGTATGTTAGGGCTGAATCTGAATGACAGGGTGAGAAAAGGTGTGATAAGAGAAAAGTATGGTTTGCAAGATGATGTTGTGACCAGGATTAAGAAAGGAATGCTTCGGTGGTTTGGTCATGTAGAAAGAATGAATGAGGAAAGTGTGACAAAGCAAATTTATGTTACAAAGGTGAACGGCAATGTCGGGAAGGGACGCCCTAGGCAAAAGTTTATAGACCAAATTGGCGATATATTGAAAATGGGCCAAATTAAGAGTGCCTTTAACCGACGAGCATATATGCGTAAGTATATGGATGTGGAGGAAGCGAGAGAGGTATGTCAGGATCGTGTCAAATGGAAGTCCATAGTCTCTGCCTACCCCCCTGGTTAACAGGCGTGAGTGTTTATAATAATAATATAATAAATTAATAAAGTATCAGAATAATATTCCGGTGTAGAGTATAGATTTGTTTATTCTATTTAGCATTACAAACGAACATACAGTCCATCATTTGTTAGCGGAAGCTGTGTCCCAAAGACGTCTACTACCTACTATAATGCGTTGTCGACCCTAGGCCTAATGGAATGACACGTTACCAGTAAAGAATATCGCTGGTTCTCGTCACGAATCATGTGAAAGATAGCAGCATGATGATGCTATTTTACACTGGTATTCCAGTCATAGTCCTTCTACGGTCGAATTGCCTGATTCATGCTACATCCATAATAAAGCTGAAGCGTGACTCTATCACGGAGTTTTAAGGGGTACTTAACCGTAGACAGATTATTGCTCGTGTTTAACTAATAGTTTGAGGTAGAGATAACGTGTCAGCTTAGGCGCCTTGAGATACTATTATCATCGACTGTCTGCTGGCTCAAGCCAAAAACTTGGAAATGTGACGCATCAACATAATGTGAAAAAGTTTTTGTAACAAATTATTATAAAGGATAATTTCTACTTGACGCTGGCAAATGTAAAACCGTATTAGTACATTATCAAAGAAAGGAAGACTATCACGTAAGGAAATTTCTAATTTCTGAGAGGTAAAGTAACCCAAAGAAAATGTAATGATAGCACGGGGAATAGACACACGCTTTTAAAATCTAAAATTACATAGTGCGCGAGAAAACCGAGTTCGACCTGCTTACTAAAGAAATTGTTAGTTGCAATTTTAAGTGGTCTACAATGTTACAACGGTGAAAATTGTAAGTGCTACTATTTGTCTAAATAATTTAAACAAAAAATTCGAGGATACGTGATGAAAATTTGGGACAGCACGACAAGATTATTCTCTGTTCCAAAGCCCTTTTAGAAATGCCAAAAGTCTGCGCCCAGAGAACATGATACTGAACAACGTGAAAGCTGATAATTTATAGAATAAGGATGACAAACGAGCACACAGTTCACTTGATGGTAAGTGGATGCTGTGGCCCAGAGATCTACATCTATCCTCAATAACGAATTTTTGTTTTTTTGGTTTGCAGATGCGTTGTCACCCCTGAGGACTAGGATAGAATGCCTCGTATCCAGTAAAAAGGATCTCCGGCTCTCTACACTCACCATACGAAACACAGCAGCATTAAGCTGCTATTTTACGCTGGTATTCTGTGAGAGCGCTGTGAGGGTCCTTCCCCGGTCGAGCCGATTCATTCGTGCTACAATTATAATTAAGCTGCAGCATGTCTCTACCACATGGGATCCTACATAATCTGAGTCATGTAAGTCGGTCACCAGTCGCAACCAAGACTAGCCATCTGCGGAATCAACCACACCACATAATAAATAATAGTACGCGATATGATAAAAATACACAAAATTACGCAGGAGAGGACTACAATGCACCAGTGTGTGCGCAAGCACAGGGCCAAAAACTAAAGATTTTTGAGACGCGGAAATGAAACACCGTCAACTTCTTGACTCCGGGCTTATCTTAGTCATTAAAGATGACATCGCATCTGTAGCCTTCATGGTTTTAAGGTTGTAGATGTCCATGGACTGCAGTAGCCCCTTACCATCAGGTGGAGTGTAAGTTCGTTTGTCACTTCAGGTTTATAAAAATCCACACGGTTACCCGTTCACGCCAGTCATACAAACCATACCGGCGACGGGTAGCAGCGTCAAAATTACGAGACGTCTGGTACTGCGAACTTCAATCCACCCGCCAAGCGTGGCAATAATGACGATTATCGCTTCAACGGCAGACGCCCATTCCAGTGAACGTTTCCATTACAGGAGTCCATTACATAAGCTCATAGGGAGCTTTTGCCATAGTTGCTACACTTGACAGCCGGGTTGGAAACTGCAGTTTTTTTATAATATTGACTTGTTATCAGGAAGGCGCTGCTATCCATCTCCTGGCTTGTTTCCATTGTCGCTTGATAATGAAGGTGTAAACGGAATGGTTATGACGTTAGCTATTGGAATCCTTTATATATTTCTGGCATTTCACAGTCGCCTCTTACGACAACTACGGGACGAAATGTAGTGATACATGTTTTTAGATCGTCAACACATGGCGAATGTCATCATCATCATTGTTATGGCTCCGTAAAAGTGAACTGCTGGACGTGGGTATCCCCTGCTATGGGGAGGATATGCCCCAATCGCCACGTGTGACAGACGATTTTCGAACACAGTACTATTATATTATATATCGCCATTTAGGGCAATAAACTTCCGTCTTGGGCGCGCCTTGCTTAATCTACCACTCACTTGATATGCTATGATACTCGTACATTGCAAAATATTATTTAGGTGTGATTTTTATTCTTTAACGTACATGTTGGTAATCACCAATGTCAAGGACCCGGAAAGCGAGTCATTTAAGTGCGAGCTACGATAGCACCCCACAGGAAATTCACAATTTCATATCGGATATCTTGTCGATAACTGATATATATACATAATGATACATATATATAGCCGTCGTCAGATTCTTGTTGTTTTATCTCCTAAGTCTTATCAAAATAATAAACGACTGATATTCTGTTTTAATCAGCGTCCTATCTCTCGTGTTTACAATAATTTTATGAACATTAAAAAGAAAGTTGGGCATCTTCCTGATAACGACTCAAAATAATAAAAAGCTGCGCTTGCCAACCCACCTGCCAAACGTGGCAATAATGGCATGGCCCTCACATGAGGCACTAGATGTATGGATGGTCGCGAGTGGTGTAGCTATGTGCAGAGCAGAGCTCCTCGTGCCTTCCCTACTGTCGAGACATCGCATAGCCCGAGCTACGCATCTTCCTCGCACTGTTACAACGCGGTGGTGAATCTTCATATCACATCTTACTCGCCCCGCTACATAGCTTAGCATCAGTGGAAACGGTCACATACTTTCACAGCTTAGCTTTCACGTCCTCGCAGAATAGCTACATAGCACATGTCTGGTGGAAAAGCACCCTAGCATATGTTGGCGGACTTCACACGCCCTTTGTTCCTTAGGCATGCAGGTTTCCTCACGATATTTCCTCTCATGAGCACGTGGTAAACCAACAGATAAAATTGCAACTAACAATTTTGTTAGTACCGGCTGGTATCCATTTCGGGTCTCACGGATTTTATTCTTTGAGCTACCACGACTCATTTAAACATTTAATTTGTAGTAACAGCTTGTATGTACTATTATTTGTTCTGTGGTAATAGTGACGACTCAGTAGCACCGTGGCTGTGCGTTCCGTAGTTCGAATCCCGCACGGTACAAAGTATGTAGGCAAGGCCTAGAAATAATTGTTCAGTGTTTGGATATTTGCCCAATTGTGTCCCCTATTCACGACAGTGCACACTAAGAGGTGGTTCACGACAGTAGTCGAATGGCGGATTCAAACCCACGACCTTTTTAGTTCGCAGATCACACCCTGGCGTTAGGTTACTGTAGGCTACTGTTTGTACGATTATTTATCATAGTAAAAAGTATAATTTTACCTAGAAGTAAAATACCTACCACTTGCTCTTTGGAATTGAACGGCAGCTTTCTGACACTCGGCTCTGGCAACGGCGGCAGCTGCTACCGCCTCGTGATAGGGCCTCGACCTGTCCACGCAGGTGCCCAGCCGTTTGGTTAATCCCTGCAGGCGACGCGACGTCTCGTCCAGTAGCAGGTGGAATGTTTTCATCGACTCCTGAAAGTTGATGATACTGATGATCCTGTTTTACTGTAGACACAGAAGTACCACAGAATACATAGAACAACTTAAATAGAATAATCTAAACCACATGAAGCGTAGGCCGCTCCCCGGGTGATTACGAGAGAACGTTACTTCCACACTAGGATTTCTCCTGTACCGTGGGGGCAGCTTACATAGATAAATTTCACAAGGACAAACATCCAGACCCGGTACAATTATTTGTAGACCATACAAATACTTGTTCCGTGCGGGATTCGAATCTGCGGCTCCCAGCGCATCAACTCATTGCTAAGCCACTGCGCCACGGAGCCGTCAATCTCTTCTTTGCTTCCACGGCCAAAAGCCAATGTTGCTGATTAACCTTGAGTATCATTTTCTTTTAATGTTACACAGAGAACTTTCAGTCTAATGTTACATAGAGGAGTTTTATGTTTTTTTTTTCTATGTTTACGGTAACACATTGAATGAAACTAATTTTTATGAATAGTACACCTGCATATCGCGTTTAATTTACTTGCCTATAAATCTTTATTTGGAGTAATTTGTGGCACCCACTTTATTGTATTCAATAACATAAGTGTAATTATAATACGTTTTTCGTATAGTGTAAGAATATCCACTACCCCATATTATGCCGTGGCTGTCGCAAGAGGTGACAGAGGGAAACATATCAGGAGATAGGCAGCAGCGTTTTCCTAATATCGGCTAAAATCACCGGCAGAAATTTCTAATGGATTCCGATAGCTGACGTCATAACCATCCTTTTTTTTCTCCTTTATTGGCCTGTAAACGTTCAATGACCGTGTAGTGGCGGTGTAGGAATATCCACTACCCCGTATATCGTCCCGTGGGCGTTGTACGAGGCGACAATGGAAACTAGCCAGGAGATTGGCAGCAGCGCCTTCCTGATAATAACTCAAACTTATAAAAAACTGCGGTTGCCAACCCGCTTGCCAAGTGTGGCAACTATGGCAAATATACCCCTATGAGGCAGGCTATGGGTGATGCCTATGTTCAGCAGTGGACTTTAATAGGCTATAACTATAACGGTAATACGCATTGCGGTGACATATCTATACATATAATAAAACTGTAAATAGCAGATGTCTGTACATTTTATATTTTTGTAATAAAAGTGATTTAGTACCCAAAAATAAGTAATTAAATACATTTCTACCATTTTTAGAATTTTCTGTCTGTCTGTCTGTCTGTTTGTTTGTTAACGTATCACGTTTAAAGTAGGGGAGACTGGGTACGGTTGAAACATTTTAGCGTTTATCGTCCATTGCATCGGTATTAGTTAAGCGAACGATGAAGGAAATATATTAAATAAAAGACCATATATCTGTCTAATAATGGGCAATGTTACTTATGATCACTGTACTGTATTGTATGTGTAAATTCGAATTTAAAAAAATATATAATTTGTTTCAACCGTCCCAATGCCAGGGTCGGTTGAAACAGTGCCTGGGGTCAATTGAAACACACGCAAATAATACAAAATATAACAATTGGACATGTTTTATTCATCGTCTTATAACATTTAACGACTCGAAATGGTACAGTTGAACATCACAAATATTTTTCATTAATATTTAAGTTTTTCACGATACTTATAATTTAACATTATTTTTAATCAGCCTTCAAAAGTTTATATTAAGTACAACTTTAAATCAGATGTTGGTGACGATTTATTTTGTAATGTTTGTGTAGGTACTATTTGCTATTATATTTCTCAAAATTCAACATCATTAATAGACTATCTTATAACTAGATTTTGGCACTCCAGCTAACAAAACACTTTGAGTAAGACTTCAAAAAATTATTTCTGTGAACATCTACATTTTGATGCATAGAAAAACAAGTGACAAAACAAAATTTCAATACTTTTTGTTTAAGAGAATAAAATTTAACAGCTTTAAAAATGCACTTCAGCTAATAAAATAGGTTAAAAAAACTAAACTTATTATTTCTATAAAAATCAATATTTGAAACAAAAATACTTAAGTGGTTACGAGATCATTCGGAATCACAATTGTGGCAAACATAACTAATACTACCTTCTGTGCACTCTTCATGCGCCCACATTTTACATTCTGTGCATTGTATCCATTTTTCCCTCGGTCTGCTTTCTGAATATGCTGACATACAAACAAGGCAGTAGCACTCCTCTTCTTCTGACGGTGATGATTCACGTTGCGTGTTAGTTTTTTTCCTGTTTATAGCATTACTTTTAGTCTTTGCTACATCTAATATTTTTTTAACTTGCTTAGCTTTGGTTCGTTTCAATCTGTTTTCATGTTCTCTTCTTATCTCTTCTTTTTCTGGTGTGTCTGTGTAGATTGTAGATTTCCTGGTTTTTCGTGCCCTGTTTGTTAATTTCCTTGGAGGAGCTTTTGGAAGTGGTCGTACTGCTTCCGGCGAAAACATAAGTGGTGTTCTCGAAGTTGCGATATTTTTTGTATCATTTGTCAACAAAGTAACGGATTGAGAACTTGTAGAAGGTTTGGGTGAAATTTGCTGAACACTACCACTACTTTGATAACCGGGTAGTGTAATCAAAAGTTCTGGATCTACAATGATATTTTCTTGTTCTCTGCCTGGGACTTGTGAACACTGTGGCATATTTACAGTTTGTTGTTGTACAAAAAGAGCTGCATTAGAAAGCTTCTTTGACTCTTCTAGTGGTTCGAGAATTAAAATAGAAGGTGATGGTATTGGCGTTTTATCCTCATATGTAATAGTATTCTGCATAGGGCACTCAGTTTCCTCGATTGTATTTACAGGATTTGGCCTATCTGTCACAAATGCAGGTGCAAAATCGAGTTCAGTAAACAAATGCCGATTAAATGGAACAACCCCAGTAGTGCGAAAGCCAGCTTGAATATTAGATTGTGTAAGAGCAAGCGGCATAGCAGTAGCTAAAATCCCTGGGATGTCATATATTGACATTGTCTTGCCGGGGTGGCTTCTCATCCATCCATCACAGGTCGAATTTACAGCTTTTTTCAGCGGGCCGAATACAGATCTATCAAGCGGTTGAAGTTTATGTGAGCAATGGGGAGGGAAAGATAGCATAACAATGCCATTCGTCTTGCAAAAGTCCAGTGCGGTAATGTGAATATGTGAAGAGTGGTTATCAAGCACAAGTAAGACTTTATGTGAAGGAGAAGCATTTGTATGTTTCTTGAAATGTTCCAGGAAATGAATAAATGTTTCATCCTGCATCCAGCCAGAAGGATTTGCACTTCCAGCAGATCCTATTGGTCTATCTCTGATAAAGTGATCTTGGTATCGCACTCGCGGAAAGATGAAGAATGGAGGAATAGCATTTCCGATGGCATTGACCGCATAGGCTACTGTGACTAAAGTACCCCTCTCGGCTGAAGTCACTGAACCCACTTGACGAGCACCACGTCTAGCTATTATTCTGTCGGGTTTTTGCACAGTAGTTATACCGGTCTCATCAGCATTATATATATTTTGTGGTTCAAAATTATAACGGTCCATAACAGTAGCCAAATTGTCGTAGAAAGCATTTACGTTATATCTATTAAAGCTAGTCGCCATAGATAGACTTGTAGCCTGTGCTGCACGTACTGACAGTTCAGTATTTCTTCTCATAAACATGCGAAACCATTCCTCGCCAGCAATTTTGTTGTCATCCCAAGTTCGAGGCCGTGGTAAGTCGTACTTGACGGTTAGTTCATAAGCCAATTTCATAACATCCTTTTTAGTTAGGCCAAAATATATGTCTGCACATCTAATTAAATATTTAGATAACTCACGCTCTTTTTCCTGGTTAAACACTCGATTGTGAGCCTTATATCCCATTTCTTGATTTTCATCGCCACCAGTCGCATCTCGTTTACGTACATACCTCAGCAGGGAACAATGGTTCAGTCCATTCTTTTCTGCCGCTGTTCTTAACGAAGATCCGGCTTTTACATCTTCATAAGCTTGTTTGTACGTTGATAAGTCAACCTGACCTCTCGTAGTCTTCCTTTGGCGTACCCTTGGCATCTATGAAACAAGAAAATTAAATAAATAAACTGTTCCAACCGTACCCACAAAAAATGTTTCAACTGTCCCCAACCCCCCTTCTAGGTATAAAACGGTTCACAGTAAGAATGATAATACATTCTAACAAATACTAATCATACAGCCATATTCTACAAACTTTAATTAAAACGATACTATACTCTCAATACTCTAACTTTAATAAAACCATAGTAATTGCAAAAATGTACGAACAAAAAATACTTACTTTTCCGTCAAAAAACACAATGAGGCCTCCTATACACAAGCACAGCGCGCGAAGAGCGACGCAACACTAAAATTCGTGTTTCGACTTCTCGCCCGCTTCGTTCTCCCCTTGCACCCCTCACTTCATCATGCACGGTGTCGAGATATTCGCTTTGTTTCAACCGTCCACCGTTTCAACCGTACCCAGTCTACCCTACTAATTTATATCATAAGAATTGTTAAGGAAATTATAAAGTGTATCTTCGGGTTACATTTAGTCTTTATTTCATTAAAATCGGTTCATTCCATCAAAAGTTATGATAAATATTCTGAAGTATGGGTAGGGAATTTGCTCAACGGTGGCTTTGTTTGAGTCATCAAGTTGATGTTAGCAGCGCCATCTCTCTTCAATTAAATATATACATATAATAAAAATGATGATAACATGTTGTGTCTCTTTCTGTACATTGTATATTTATTTTGGTGACTAAAATCATTATGGGGAACTAAAAATAATTAAATAAGTACATTTTTATAATTTTTAGAATTGTCTGTCTGTCTCTTTGTCTGTTTTTATATGAATGCATCATGTCTAAAGTAAACATCTTTTTTTTTCAAAGAAATCGTTAAGAAAATCATAAAGCGTATCTTCAAGTTACATTTAATCTTTGTTTTATTAAAATTGGTTAATTCTATCGAAAGTAATGATTATTATTTTAAAATGTAGGTTCGAATTTGTTCAATGGCGCCATAAAAATCTCAGAAATAGTAATAAAAGGATTTGTGTGTAAAAAAAAACGTTCCATAATAATTAATATATTTATACTTAAAACATAAAAAGAGATTTAAAAAAGGATGTTTTCTCACACAAAGGACGTAATAGATGGAGTTATACAAATTACAAACTTTTCTGATTTGCTGTGTTGAGATTTTTCGCCGATGAATCGTATTGAGACTTACTGAAGAAATTAGTATCTATCGAAGCCATACAACGGAACCCGAACAAAAATAACAAAATTGCAACGAAATGTCGTGATATTCTATTTATAATATACGCAAAATCAGTACTGCCATTTTAGCGCTTTGGGAACTAGATTTAGCGCTTTTTTGGAATGTATAGCGCGCATTTCGAAATTTTAGCACCTAGCACTTAATCCAGCGCTTTTTGGTGTATTTAGCACACATTTCAAAATTGTAGCGACTAGCGGGTTATTAACTCTTTTATAGCAGCACTGTTAGTCCACATTACCATTTTTATTATTTTTTCCACAAATAGTACATTGCAGTTTATCTTTTTCAAACATATTTTTTCCACAAAACAAAGAGCATGGGAGACGAGTCCAAACTAGGATACCCTGTGCTATGGATCTCCCGGCTTCCCCTTTAGGATGATCAACTTGATTTTTTTTATCGACGACTATAAGCGGGGAAATCCCCTTCATTAAAGTTTTCGTTCATGGTTTTGGCAACGCATTTATTTTGCTTTATTCAGTTTTAGTCAGTTGTTTAGAGCACAGCTAAGTTAAAAGTTACTTAGAGTAGTACTAACTACTGTTGACAGCAATTGCCATAATTATAAGTCGATGTCCTGCGAAGTATTGATACATCAAAAAATATTGCCAGAAAAAAACTTAATGTTGTTTTCTTTATTATGATTATATTTTCTTGAATTATAAATTATAATAAAAAACACAAACTTTGTTTGTAGTTAATTTAGCGCGAAATCTAGGGCTTTTTTAAAGCGCTGTTTTCATGAAATCTAGCGCTTTTTGTGTTGTCCTAGCGCTGAATGAGTTTTTTTGATCTGGCAGCACTGCCAAAAAACCCTCTATTAAGAAGTAATTTTCCCTTCAGTTTTAAGCGCGTTCAGTTCCCAGTTACAGTCAGCGTGTGTTATGTGATGACCGTAAATAAAGTGCAAGGTCAAAATTTACGCATTGTAAGAGTGGACCTCAGTACTGACTGTTTTGCACATGGCCAACTCTATGTTGCTTTTTCCCGCGTTAGTAGCCCCCGTAACCTTTTTGTGTACACCCCGTCTAAGTCTACTTCTAACGTCGTTTACACCGAAGCTCTATCATAAACTACTTAGAACTTTGATGATAATGATTTATTTGTTACCACTTATTGATACAGTAATGATATAAATCGTTTAATATTCTCTTACCTAAACGACAAATTCTTTAAAATCTATATACGCGAGCTACGCCGCGGGCACAGCTAGTAAAATATAAAAGTGATGTAAGAAATTGTAAAGCCATACGTGCAAACAGAGTCGAATTAAACGACTGATCGATAAAATCTGAAAACGGTTAAGTAATTGCCATTGAATCTGTACATGATAGAACCACGCTGAAGTGTGAAAGGTCGGCTCGTACGAGGAAGGATCAAGCCGCTTGCACAGACAACTGGCATGAAATAGCAGTATAATGCTGTTGTGTTTCGTATGGTGAGTGTAGAGAGTTAGTTTCTCAGGGGTGGTAATGCATCTAAATTTTGGTTTGGCATAATTTAACAAACAGGTTATATGTGCTCGTTTATCAGCCCTACTCCTTTCAAAAATATTATGTATGGTTTATATAACATATTAAATAACATGGTCGGCAAATAAGTTTCGGATACGTTTAAAAACGATATCTTCAAATTTGACAATATTATAACTATTGAAGCAAGTAACCGTTAAAATATTGAAGCACTTACTGATACAATTAAAAGTAATAAGCTAGAGGGTATGTTTCTCGAATGTAAGTTTGTTTTCCATATCATCAGAAATATCACTGAACTTTTTTTGGGGGTGAATATAAGCAATTTTGACTGGGGTGAAAGGGTGAATATGTTACTATTTTCTCCCCACCCCGATGCTAAAGTATATCAGACTTGTAAGATGGAGCAATTTTCTAGTGAAGGAGCTAGCTTTGTTTTCACCAATTCGCTCGTACAACCAAACGGTCTTTTGTTTAGTTGACTAAAAACGATTATTATATCACGTTATTGGATTCAATAAACAATCAACTGCTAAATATTAATCTCGTTCTAGTTAATAGCCGTAACAGTAACGCTAACTTAAAAACGGTATAGTAGCGGTGATAAAAGATTCTATAAAAATATGCATGTTATTTTTTATTATGACTAAGCCTATAATTAATGAAACACAATTCAATTTTTTTATCAATAAATCTGCTTATCGCTAGCAATTCCTCAAACAGATGACATTGACAATGAAGAGGCCGCAGCACTACCAAACGGGGCCACAAAAGCGGAACGGGAAACCGATAAAACGTTTCCGCCGTTGCGTTGAAAACCTTAGCGACAGATGTTTCATTAGGTTTTGACTAGGGTTGGCACAAATGAGAAAATAACTTAAAAGAAATAAATAACGTCAATTTGGTTTGTTATAGTGTTGATAGTTGACTCTCTGGTCGATATTTTCTCCTACATCCTATATTATTCATTAATTATTATAACCTATACACAAAGTCCACGGCTAACTTTTCTTTTTATAAACTAAATTAATTATACTTTAATATAACCTCGACTCATGTCGCGTCATCGCAAACCTTAGTGGTTTTCTGTATGCGATTTTTAGGATAGTTTTTTGTAATGCTTTGTAATATGGTAAATAAATTTAAAAAAAAACCATAAATAAGACTTTCCATATATATTGCCTTAAAAAGAGTATAATTGTCACGCTTGGCAGCAACCTCAATTTTATATTTTCTAGTAGTTGGTTAGCTGGTTTGTTTCCCTCTGTCGCCTCTTACACACCCACGACGATATGGCGTAGTGGATCTCCTTACACAGCCGCTACATGGTCACCTATATTATAGTTAGAGCGGTATTTAATGTAAACTTAAGCAATAATGTAGAAGACTCATTTTCAGCTGACGGTTTCACAGATTTATAAAGAAGATTCCACTTACGTACATTATAAATATTATAACTTAGGATAAGATCTAAGATCACGATCTCTAAGCTGGATTAACGAGTCCAGCGTCTGAGGTTCACTGATTCTGCATATTTTCTTCTAAAGATGACGGTGAAACTAGTCGATATTCGTTTAGGCAAGAGTGCTCATGGCTCAGCAACCCTACCTACAGTTTTGCACCTGTTATTCCAGTTAACGTGGCGTGAATCAAAAGCGTGCTTCTGACGGGCCCTACATAATCGACGATGTGACGGCGGTTACTATTACGGTGACTTTCAAACCTTTATTCAAGACCAGCGATCCGCTCCGGCTTCGCTTTGGTAGGATTTGGAGGAATTTTGTGATTTTCCAAGCTTTTCGTTTCAAGTTCAAGTTTTAAGACTAAATCAATTACGACATTGCTCTCTTTCTGTCCGTAGTTTCATTACAATCGGTTCAGCCAGCGAAGATTAGCCCAAATTGACAGACAGACAAAAAAATTTTAAAATTTAAAAAAAAATCATGTTCTAATGTCATATAAGCACCCCCCCCCCCCCCCCCGATCTCAATAAAAGGTAGTTTTTTTATAGGAGAAGGGGCAAACGAACACGCGGCTTACCTGATGGTAAATATCGACCGCCGCCCATGAACAATTGTAACACGAGGGGAATCGCAGGTGCCGGCCTTTTAAAAAAGAGTAGGCTCTTTTCTTGAAGGTCCCTAAGTCGCGTCGGTCCGGAAAAATCGCTGGTGGTAGTCGATTCCACAAGGAAGTTGTGCGAGGAAGAAAATTTCTAATAAATCGCACAGTGGTGGACCGCCAATCATCCAGATGGTATGGATGGTATCTCGAGTTTTGTCGCGATGTGCGATG